ACTATGATTTTACTGGCTAAAGCACCCTTCACAATGGCTGTGTATGCCATGCTCCGTGTTCTTTCCCACTAGCCAAGAGAGAAAAAAGGGTGAAGGAGATGCAAATGTGCTTTTACAGCCAATTGACCCCAAAGTGTAGCTACTGAAGGTACAAGTCAGGTCTGCATACTGGTACATATAATCTTTACTTACCATTTACATTAAAAATCATTATTATTTAAATTAGTATTTAGAAAACATTGCCAATTTCAAGAATCAGACATGAAATAAGTACGTACTATACCCTCCTATTTGTTAGCCCTAAATGCACTCCTCTTCAACCAGGGTGAAAAATAAAACAGTTCAGAGCTATTCTGTCCTTCACCCATCGTTTCCTCCTCAGGTCCTGAACGTCTGAAGTAACAGGTAGAAAGAATTCTGCAGGGCTTGGGTGGATGGACAAACTGCACAGAGCAGCCCTGCACACAGGGAACTCACACAGGGTTACAGGAGACCTTCAGGTTCTGTTCTGTAACACTGGATTGCAGGGAGGCCCCAAATGATCTCATTATCCCAAGCATTCCACCTCATACAGGATATAAATGCTGCATTATTATCTCTAATAATTCTGGTTATGGGTCCATTGACACTCACAGGGACAATCTTGAGATGTAACTCAAAGTCCAGAATGGAATGAACTATCAAGAAGAACTTTGCAATAGGATTTGCAACCCAGAGGCAGAGAGATACATTGACATCACAGGCTAAAAGCCTGTTTTGGGAATAACTTCCACATTGCCAAAGGGATTTTATTGCTTCTGAAGTATGAGGCTTTCTGCAACCAGCTTTTTTCCCCCTGCAGGAACGAACAGAAATTCTACATAACTCCATGCACATTAGCGTTCTACATGCTCTAAAAAGCAAGCTCGATTTTACTTCTCCTTTGCTACATTTAAAGAGGTGAATCACGAACACACAAGCAGCCTGGTAGATCAGAGATAGAGGGTGCAAGTCAAGCCTGAGCAAACATCGCTGGTCTTTCTAGCAAATTTCTAAACGACAGTTGAAAACACTTGTTATTGCCTCAACTTCCAGTCCTTCAATCCATATACCAGTCACATGTAGAACAGGAATTTGCTGCTTACAACACCTGCTCCTAAAAACCCATTCCGTGGCTACTTAAAACAAAGACTAAGTTCTGAGGTAAATGGAAATTTAATTTTGTTTAAAAACAACATGCCATCATCAACAGAAGAAGGTGGCATATATTAAATACAGGTTGTTTGTGTGGTTTCCTTTGCCCGTGAAATGGAGAATGCAGAGTGAGAAATCACTGTTTTGGCCTAAATACCCAGAGCGCTGGAAACCGTCAGTGTTTTCAAAGCTCTGCCCAATTTAAAAGGGACCAACTCCTGCCAAATTTGTATCTAGATTAATTTAATCCGTTGTTCCAGCCCTTTTCCTCAGTAACCTGCTACACTTCTCAGAGTGCTACACTGAAGACTCGAGGCACGATACTTTGATGCTGAATAAGCCAATTTCACAAACAAAATTTTCAGAGGAAAAGATGTTACAAAAACAGTTTGTAACTGCTGCAGAAGACAAATACATGACTGCGTGCACACACCTGCAAATATTGCATAAACAAAAACAACTATTTATCAACACTACTCTCTACTACTGTTCTTGTGCACAAACAAATCAGTATCACTTGGAAACTTTGAAGAATGGGAAAAAAAATTAAGTTCCTTTTGAGAATTCAGAATTCATTTTCCCATGTCAAAATTGTTATTTTGCCTCTTACTCTAATCACACTCAAACTATTTCCCCTCCCAAAGCATCCAAGATGTAGAAAAAGGAGGCAACTGCAGATTTCCCCAGAAACACTTCCACGCAGCAGAGCTGTTTATACAGTGATGAATCAATATAGCATCACTACACTCTTTCAGCAGTATGTATCACCTTTCTTTCTATAGCATATAAAAACATACCACAACAACCTCTCCCAGTCAGCATTTGCTCCCTAATTTACTGTCTAGTTCTAACCAGATTTGGCTACAACACGACTCCAATGTCACAGCAAATCGGGATGCTGAACTGCCTTCCAGAACGGGCTAGGAATGCATCCAGAAAGGACAGCAATTAGCACGTCTAAAATAACCATTTCTACACAGAGACAGTTTAAAAGCTCAGATATGGTTTCATCTCAACTCGCACCGGTTACCAGCCACGAACAGATGACTACAGGAGCGAATCCTGCAGTGCTTTGCAATCCAGATGACCCTCTGCCACTCGTTCTTGACTTCTCCATTCAAAACGCCGTTTCCGTTTTCCTCTTCCCCCTCCTCCCGAGCACGGATTTGTCCCAAGATGTTTCGCGTCCCACCATTAAGGGGCCAGCCCGGTGCCCGGGCTCCCGTGCCCGGGTACCAGCCCTCCCAGAGCCAGCAGGTTTGCTCCATGCTCCACCATCAAACATGGCTGCACCATGTCCTCTTTGTGACTGAATATGTGTAACAGCTCTTCTGCCTTCCCACACTTCTTTTATCTGCCCTCCCTTCTTTCCTCCGATTAGCGAGGGACCATTTCGAATCGCTATTACCCACTTCTCGTTCCTTTTAACAGTTTTGATATTTTCCATTAACGCTCCACCGGCAAACCAAATGCATTTCTACTTTCCAGGTTCCCTTCAAAAACATCAAGGAGCTTTATACACCGAAACCCTCCGCACCTTTAGAACCTGCTTATTTACACTCAACACAAAAAAAGTCTTCTCGTAAAAACCTCCGTCCGCGGCAGAGAAGCCCCCTAAGAGCAGGGGCAGGAAATTTTTATCATCTGGCTTGTCTTCCCTGCAGCTCCCTCTCCTGAAACCGGACCCCCTGTTACAGACCCACCTCGGAGCCTCCCGCAGCAGCCACACACAAAACCCACCCCGGGGCGAGCCTCCCTCCGCTCCGCACCCGCCGCCGCTTTTTTTTTTTTTTTGTGCCGCGGAGCTTTTTTCTTCTAAATTATTATTATTATTATTTAATTTCTCCAGCAAAAATAAATAAATAAATACATAGGAGTCCCGAATCCCCGCTGGGATTTTTCCCTTGCGGTGGCCGCGCGTTAAAACTTCGCGGAGCGGGGCGGGCCGGGGGGGAGCGCCGGGAGGGCGCAGCGCTGGGCACGGACCCGACCCCCGCACCAGCCCCGCACGGACCGTTATGAGCCGGGGGCGGCAGCGCAGCCGCGCTCCCCCCGCACTCATTCACTCACTCACCCACAGCTCCGTGCCCCAGCTCATGGCTCCGCCGGGGGAGGGGTCTCGCCGTGCCCTGGCTGCGCTTCCTCGCCGTTCGGAGGGGCCGTGCGGGGCGGGACGGGCGCTGCTCTCACCGCCGCTCCCGCCTCATCGCGCCGCAAAATGGCCCGAGCGGCGCCGCGCGGGGCGGGCGGGGGGGGGCGAGTGACAGCTCGGGCGCTGCGCAGGCGCGGCCCCGCCTCGGGCGGCGGAATCCACTCGGTGAGTCCCAGAGCGCGCCGGGCTGGGGGGACCCGCCGGGAGCGGCCAGCCCGGCCCTCAGCCCCCCACAGCACCAGCCTCAAGAGTCGCGCCCTGTGCCCCAGAGCGCCGTCCAAATGCTCCCGGAGCTCTGTCCGCCTTGGTGCTGTGAGCCCGTTCCAGCTCCCGACCACCCTCTGGGGGAAGAACCGCTTTCTAATATCCAGCCTAAACCTCCCCTGACACTTGAGGCCGTTCCCTCGGGTCCTGTCACTGGTCGCCACAGAGCAGAGATCAGCGCCTGCCCTTTCTCTTCCCCTCACCAGGAAGCTGTAACTGCAATGAGGTGTCCCCTCAGTCTCCGGTCACCAAGGAGCTGGCACTCCCTGCCCACAGGGCAGCCCTGCTCGCACAGTCATCGAATCATAGACTCAGCAAGATGGAAAGAGACCTTTAAGGTCATCGAGTCCAACTGTCCACCCAGCATTACCAACTGCAACCCCTAAATCACATCACCCAGCACCACACCCAACACCTCCAGGGATGGTGACTCCACCACCTTCCTGGGCGACCCATTCTAATGCTTGACCACCTGAACAGTGAAAAAACTCTTTTCTAATATCTGATCTCAATCGCCCCTGTCTCAGCTTAAGGCCATTTCCTCTAGTCACAGTAATCACAGAACATCCTGAGTTGGAAGGGTCATCGAGTGCAACTCATGGCCCTGCACAGGATACCCTAAGAATCCCACCATGTGCCTGAGAGCGTTGTCCAAACGCTTCTCGAACTCAGACAGGGTTTGGGAGGTGACCACTGCCCTGGGGAGCCTGTTCCAGGGCTTCTTGACCACCTCTAATTTGAATCTCCCCTGTCTCAGCCTAAGGCCGTTTCCTCTGGTCCTCTCACCGCAGGTAGAAGACACTGGCCCCCACCTCACTACAACCTACTCTCAGATAGTTGTAGAGAGCAATGAGGTACCCCCAGAGTGCGGCCCCTTCTCCTCTTCTTGAGAAGAAAGAAATCCAGCTCTCTCAGCCATTCTAGACCTTTCATGAGCCTTGTTGCTCTTTGCTGGACATACTCCAGCACCTCAATGTCCTTTTCATAGTGAGGAGCCCAAAACTGAACTCACTACTGAAGGTACTCACCAAACTAAGAGGTGGTGATTCCAACCCCACCCACCCTCAGGTGCCACTTCCCCACCTCTTACCACCCTCCTCCCAAGCCAGGTGGGGCTGGTTTTGAATCAAATGTTCCTGTTTTGATCATTTGTAAAGGAGGCAAGTGCCCTAGAGAAGAAGGGAATCCACACCCTTAAAACTTAGAACCCTTTAAGCTGTGTCAGGCAAGGTTCAGGTTGGGCATTAGGAGGAATTTCCTCATAGAAAAAGTGATTGAACACCAGAACAGGCTATCCAGGGAGGTGGCGGCGTCCCCATCCCTGGAGGTGTTCAAGGAACTGCTGGATGTGGCACTCAGTGCCCTGGTCTAGTTGACATGGTGGTGATTGGTCAAAGGTTGGACTCGATCATCTCAGAGGCCTTTCCCAACCTAATTGATTCTGTGAACTGACTGCAAGAGCTGACTTCTACCTCAGCTAAGCAGTGTATACACCCCCCCACCCCCAAAATAACCCAAATCCGGGAATATTAAATCCACCATCTGTCACCAACACACTCAACAAGCAAGCAAGGAAAATAACCAAATTATCTGCCTTTGCATAAATGTGGGTTATTGTAGCAATTACACAGGCCTTGTAGAAAATGGCTCATTTCCTTGCCAGAGAAATATTTATTTTGTGCTCCTCTTCCTCTGTGTCATTTATTTGAGCTGTGTCACTTAATCTCATTTTGCATTTCTGCTTTTGCGCCACAACAAATGTAAAAAAGAGCTTGAGACTGATATATTTATTGTTGCATCAACTCATGAGAGACTTACATGGGGAGAAAAAAAGGGGAGGATATTTATTCACCTGAGGAAAAAGGCTTCTGCTCATAGAGGGTGGGGATGCTTTTGATGTGAGAAGATAAAAATTGACCAGCTGCTACAACAAGCATTATCTCCTCTGGATTAATGCACTTCTTCCACTGATGCTTGGCTATTACCCTCCATGAAAAAGAAAAACATATTAAGCAATTCCAACATTTAGAACAACAATGAAGACAAATGTTATGTTAATAACAGAATTGCGTTTATTTTTATCCGAGTTCCATTGATTTGAACATGGGAGTAGAATGCTGCTCCTCACACAGCTGTTTTTGAAGAGAGACAGAACTGGCAACGCTTTTGTTCATCATTAGAAATTATTACTTTGAAGGACTGACTTCACAACAGCTAAAAGACATGCTGTTCAACTCATTTTAGAGTACTTCTTCTTTCTACTGCCAACATATTTAAATATCCAAGCCTGCCCTGCTGCCTGAAGCACAACCACAGTCTTCCAGGGGCCTGTACTTCCACAGACTCAGATCCACCGTCCTTAGCCCTACATTCATCCAGGACACATTGCAAAACCAGACAGCACAGTTGCATCGACACTTTTTGAGAGCTTAACCCATAAATACTTGTAGGAAAAGAATGTACAGAAACAGAAAGCAGCGCTGGTATCATCTGAGGTAAGGTTGCTGTGGAATTTCCTTTTGCACAAAGAGCTGGGAGGGGAACAAGGCAAACCTGTTACACCAGCACGGGCAGGGAAACCTGTCCACACCAAGAGATAGAAATGCTCCACCAGTTCCAGAAAGATAAAGGCCAGAAATACAAGTTTTGTATTATGATGGTACATTTGAATAAGCCATGCAAAAAACTATGACAAGATAGCAAAATTTGTGTGGACAGAGGCTCAAGACAAAAACTAAATAAAATTCTAGATGCTTCTAGAACAGGACTTTCTTTGACTGACTTTATTGTTTAGCCTGAAACTCTCCAAGGCAGGGACTGCCACTTACATTATTACTTTCAGTTGTACAGTGCCCAAAACAACAGGGCCTGCAGCTTGGCTAGTCCCTAATTACTAATGTAATTAGAAATGACAGGAGCTTTAAGAGCCCTTTATGCTGAAGTAGATGCTGGAAAGCTCAGTAGTTCTCAGTCTCAAAAAATAACTCAAAATGACATTTATAAGTTGCATACCTAGCCCTTATTTATTCAGTTTGCATAATCCATATCTGAGCAACACAGAAGCTGGTAGGAGTTTTCCCTCAGCCACGCTGAGAACAAGACCATGCAGATCTGTTTTCCAGATATGGGCCTATTCCTGTAAATTCTCTGTGTTTACCCCTCCTGTTGTTATGATTCAGAACACTCCCAAATTCAGCTCATAATTCCAAGCAGAGGTAATTCCCCTTTTAGAAAGCCAAGATTTTGTTTAGAAAACCTCAATCCCACTTGAAAATTGCCAGATTAGCTGCTAAATGATTGAGAAACTACATAAAGGAGATAAAATAAATCCCTAAACTACAGTTCAATCTAAACCCTTTTCTCTGTGTTTGTTTACTTATGCAAAGAAAGAAAAATCACAACTTTCAGAGCAAGTACAAGCACTTCCAGCTTCCAGGGTAGAGCAGGAAGAAGACCTACCTTTCCTCCCAGTTATCACCCATACAGCTGCTTCCCTTTGATTTTATAACTCTACCCATATCATCCGTGTCCAAGATAAGGAACGTGGATGCTGCTCGTAACCTCTCATACACTAGGACTGAAACAGCACCAGGAAAGGAAGAGGACACACCTTTCCTTGAGGCCATCACCATCACAGCTGTTTCCTTTCTGCTCTTACAACACTGCACAGGTCATTCAGACACACAGCTTGGGACCTGGGTGCTCTTTAATGACCCATCAGTCCCCAGAGGGGATGACTGATTAAGACCTGATAAACCGTAATAAAGCGTAATGGCCCTGGCCTGGGGCCTCTGCCCATGCACCCAGGAGCTCCATTTAAGCTCTGGTCCAAAAGCCTAGCTGTTTTGCCCCATTTTTCAGGGGGTCCTGACTCCATCTCAGCCTATACCTGGTTATAAACCCTGCTGATGTGGAGCCTGGCTCCACATTTGGCCTTTTTGCAGACCTGCCTCATCCCCGTGGATGCACATTGTTAGGCTGTGACTGACCTCAATTACCATCACCCAAACTGCAGATTGACTTCTCAGCTCAGCCTTGCCCCTGTCTCATGGCTGTGAACTCAGCAGATGACCTGGATTTTGGCTGTTTCCAGCTCCAGCCCCGGGTCTGCTCTTCTCTCCTTGCCCAGGGACTGAGTGGCTCCTGCCCTGTGTCTGGTTTATCTTGCTCATCTCCCCACTCCATACTTGTACCAATCTCAATAGTTGGCCATGATACACGAAAAAAAAAATTAACAAAATCTGTGAAGGGTTCTAATTAGATTTTTTTTTTTGTTTGCTTAAAATGACAGAGTAAAGAAAAAGATAGCCAGGCTAAGAATAACCTCTGTGCTGGAACAGTACTTTTAGAGCATAGGAATCTTGTCTGGAAGCCACAATGAAAACATATCAATATAGTGATGAGAGTTTCTGTTACGTGATGGACAGCAGCTGGTTTGCATATTGATAGAGATGTAAATTTAGGTATAGGCATCTTTTAACACAAAAATTCTTAGAGAATTGAATACATAAAGAAAGTAAGCATGTTATAAATTCTATTTTCAGGATCATTTAGTGTAGGTAAGTGGAGAACTTAGTTACTACAATATCCTAATAGTTGCAGAAACATTGAAAAAAATAAAGATCTTCAGACAGTTTCTAGTCTGTGGCATAAAAATCCCCGATTTCTCCAAGGAATAATCCTCAGACTAAAAAAGGCTCTTCAGATGAATCAATATCCGGAACTACAGGGAAATGCCACGTGCTCTTTGACCACTGAAGCCGTCAAAGTGTGCCTGATACTTAGGAGTGGAACACCCTGTGCCACAGCTGTGGTTGCAAAGCAGCTGTTTCTTAGGAGTCAAAACTCTCCAGGTTTCCCACGTGGTCCGTGCGCAGGAATTGTAATCATTACAGCATAAAAAAAACCCCTCAGAACTAATTCCAAGAAAATATCTGGATCAGAGTTTTTTAGAATAAATTATCTGATGTTTGTAGTTCCATACGTTTCTTACAATCTGTCTGGTGCAGCTCCGTGCAGCGGAAGGGCTGATGCTGCCAGGACATCTAGTGGCACCCACATGTACTGCCCAGAGAAGGAATATTACTAGAAAAACAGATTCTTTTCCTGCTTCCAGATATTTTCTGGTACCAGTCCAGGTTTCGTTGGCCGATGGCAAAATTTCTGTGTTTATTTTATTATCTAAGAATATAAAAGGGGGAAGTGAAATTGCAAGAAGAAATGTACGGTAACATCTGAATCACTTCTCTAAATAAAGATGGGACATAATCTTGATAAAATAAAGGTCAAGGCTGTTTATTTTTCTCTGCCTTTTCACCCTTATTTGCATTTTGCTATTCACCTGGTCCAGTCCAATTGTTTTTCTATGTCTAGGCAACAGAACTTGCACTGTTGTTACTTCATACACTGAAAGGGAAAATCAGAATGTCTGAATTCCAGGAGCTGACAGCACAGGGCTCCCCACTGAAGAACTACATTTGTTTACATTCATTGCTTCCCATTCCATAGTCCTTCAATTATTTTTTTTTTAGCAATGTGTTAACCAAAAAGACATTTTAATTTCTGCTATTCTTGTTCACTCAGCTTCTTGTGTTACCCTTGGTTTGAGCAAGAAAAGTTATGGAAAGCAGGTCCAACCTGCTTGTTGTTTCATTTTTAAGTGGGACTACAGCTGCTAGTTTAAATGTTTGAATAGCTGCAAAACTATTCCTGTAAGGAAGCAGAAATCCTTTTCTTTGTTACTTTTTTTTAGGTAATATTAAAAATCAATAGTCTAATCCCAGCTCTAGAGAAGCTGAAGGGGGACTGCTCATCAGCAGCTGGAGTGCTGGTGTTGGAAATGATGTAACTTTCCTAATAACTTTCCTAATAACTTGTCTAATTAATTGTTTTAATTAATCACAAGCAGTGTGATTTTCCACTGTAGCCAGCATTTAACAAGGTTTGTCATAAGCTGCTATTGTGGGAACACAGTTTGGGAAAATTACTGGAACCTTATGTTTTGCTACACCAACCTTGACATGCTTCAATGAACAAAGCCCAGGAGAAAGAGAGATATTGCTGAAATTTGACACAAGGAATGCAGAATTTATGGACTGCAAGGACACTTTGCGGTCACAGTAGGAAAAGGAGGAATGGCTTCAAACAGAAAGAAGGGAAATTTAGGTTTGATATATGGAAGGAATTCTTCCCTGTGAGGGTGGTGAGGCCCTGGCACAGGTTGCCCAGAGAAGCTGTGGCTGCCCCATCCCTGGAAGCGTCCAAGGCCAGGTTGGACAGGGCTTGGAGTAACCTGGGCTAGTGGAAGGTGTCCCTGCCTATGGCAGGGCGTGGAATGAGATGATTTTTAAGGTCCCTTCCAAACCAAACCAGTCTGTGATTTGCCTGACCAACTTGTGTTCATCTTTCACATATTTATAGTTCTGACACCTCTGTGTATCATTTCCATCTTCCAGGTGGGAAATTACAACAAAAAAAGAGCAAGGGTGCTTATCTATCCCAGTCATAGGGAAACCGCTGGAAAACCGCTGGAAAACCGCTGGAAAACCGCTGGAAAACCGTACCATTTTACAGGGTTTTCTGGACACCCGAATGCCTCAATTCCAACCATACAAGACCCAGCGGGTCTTCCAATTCCTACACACGGGGGAGTGGGATAGTCTAAATGATGCTTTGAACGTGTAGCAGAGCAGCTGCCGGCAGAGCGAGCAGCGATCCTTAAGGACCCACCCACCCCAAACCATTCCAGTGATCCCCGACAGGGAACGTCCCTCACGGGGGCGGGGGGGGGCGTGGGAAGGCGGGTGTCACATGACGCTCCCTCGTCACGTGATCCGCCCTGACCCGGAAGCGGCGCGGGCCGGGGACGCTGACGCTGGAACAAATATGGCGGCCCGCGGCGCTGGGGCCGCTCCGGGGCCGCTCCCGCTGCTGCTGCTCCTCCTGTTCCTGCTCCGTGTCAGCCCCGCCAGCGCCCGCGTCCACCACCTCACCCTCAAAGTAAGGTCCGCGCCGCCTCCGGCCCCGCTGGTTCTTCTCCCGGCCGCGCTGGGTTCCCTCAAAGGGGTGCGGTGAGCGCGGCCCGGCCCTGCCCTGCGCGCCTCCCGACGCCTCGGACCGGTCTGCCCACGTCTTCAGCGTCGTCCCGTTGACGGCCCTGACCCTTCTTCCTATTCGCTTCGCCCTGGGGTTTCCCCCTGCGCCTCAGCCCGACTGGGCCCGGCTGTGTTCTGCTTTTGCCGTTACTCTCCCGCCCCCTGTGCCCCGTGTCCCCACAGCCCCGTCCCTGCTTTTTCAGCCCGGGGTAAAGCGTGTGAAGAGGCCTTGGAACTGCAGTGTTTTGAAGGTGTAGCTGCTTCGCGTTCTGTTAAAAGCGAGGCAGAAGGCTGGGTGTGATAAGAGAGAGGGGGAGGCTTCTGAAAGGGGTTTGCCATTGAATTTCCTCTTAACTAAGTTTTGCCTTCCTGTCCTGGTCACCGGCCACTCGACTTTAAAGGGTGTTTGGCTGCCTTACTGCCCTTCCAGGTGTAGCTGCTTTGCACTACTCAAGCGATTAGCAAAGGCAGGGGAAACTGCTGCTGGCAGCTTTGTGTTTGGTTCCACGCACTGCTGGGTGTGCTTCGGAAGAGCCTCATGTGGTGCTGTGACTGTATTTGAGAAGAACTGGTTATTCAGGGCCTTGGATGGGAAGTTCTGGAGGTCACAGTGAACATGTGCAGCTCCAGTGGTGCTTTGCCTGGAAAGCTGCACACGTTTTCCACGACAAAGGAACTGTGAAATTGGGATGGTGCTTTTAAGGACTTCTGTGTAACTCACGAAGGCTCTGTAAGGCTTCAGAATGATAATTTTGTTTGTCAACAACTTGCAATATTTTGCCAGTAGAAAGGTTGGAAGCGCTAAATAAAGTGGTAAATGTGTTGCTGCGCTCTTGTACCAGTTTAGAGAGTGTGTCAGAACTTTGCAGGAATTCCCCTTCAGCGTTTGGGTTACAGTGAGTGCTGGGGGATGTTCAGGCTATGTAGTTGCTTAAAGTGCAACCACATGAGTATTGTTCTGCTTCAGGAAAAGTGAACTTCTCCCTAATGCAGTGAATCAGGAGCTTTGTGCTGGTTACATTATTGTTTTGAGGAATTTGTGACAAATGGTTGAGTGCTGAGGGGTTTCTCCCAGGGGGATCCTTTACCCTTATGTAGAAAACTTTCAAACTTGCCTCGAGCAAATGTTCTCAGCAGCAAACCTTTGGCTTCAGGTCTGTGTTAGGGTGTCTCTTCACTGCCTGGATCAATTACTAAGCCCTGTTTGCTGGTTTTTTCCCACCAGAGTGGGGTGTGCTTTTAGTTTTGCAGGTGTTCTGTGCAAGTTGCAACACTGACCCACCAAGTGCTGTGAGGAGTAGAAGTGAGTTAATGCCTTTATCCACCCCCTGTATAAACATGAGCTTTATTGTTAGAGCACAGTCTCTCCCTTTCTGCTTCATCCCCCTCTTTACAGCCTTTATGTAAACATCAGGCTCCAACAACTGAGCCCTTTCACGGTGAGGTCTCCTTTCTGGTGTTTTTACCACTGGCTCTTTCCTTACTTGTGAGTGTGCCTTGACACTGTGCCAGGCTAAAGGCCTCAGCTTTGTGGGAGTGTGTGATACTAGGTTTCCTCAAACAAGCTGTTATTGCTTAAGTTAGAACAGCTTCTTTCTTGTGTCTTTGTAATTAACGTGCTAAGGTGAAGCTGTTTTGTTGTCAGAAAAAAAAAAAAGCAACAGTCTGTGCAGTTTCCTGTTCTAAAAATAACTATTTTTATAAAAATATACAAACTAGTTTATTTCTTTTGAGTTAGAGAAGTGATTTGCTTGAATATTGCTGTTAGACTAACCTTGACAGAGGAGACTCTCTTCCTTAGCAGCAATTGTTGTCAGCCTAATTAGTTTAATGAGACATGAAAAAAAACCCTCATTAGTAACCTAACAAAAAAACCCTACAAAAACTGGATGGTGTGGAAGACTGACAGAAACAATTTTACGACGATTCCAGAAGTAGCTGGTAGTTGGAATGTTTCTCTTGACCAAAAATTAATTTGTTGTTGTTGTTGTCTTAACAGTTAAATGCCAGAACATTGAAGCCTTTTGTTTTGCATGATGCAAATTGTCCCAGAGAATGAGGGAGTTGGTCTGAGCAAGGCTTTGTCTGACACCGAGTTAAGTTTAATGTTAGTGAGTAACCAAGCTACAGATTGCAAGAGAAACCTTCCAGCTGGCAACACAGTGTTTAACAACTTGGATGCTGGAGTATTCACTTGTGTGGGTTCACACCTTTGTTGTGAACTTAAATATTTCTGAGGTCAGTAGAGTGATTATAAATAAAACCTGGGTTCTTTCAACCCCTTAAACCTCCCGGGAGAGGTGAGACCATTATTGGTAAGCCAGTGTCTTTAAGCTGTCAATATGTGGAGCAGGAGATGCTCTTGCTGTTGCTTGGTGGCAACTGGTGACAGTGTGTTTGTGTGTGGGATCATGTAAAGCTGAGGGATTTGTGAACTAAATCTGTAAACTCTAAGCACTCAAAGCTGAGATAAAACCAGGGAGGAAAGTGATGTGTGTTGGATATTAATTATCTGGGGGAGGGGGAGCATATCAGTAAACTAAGTAAATACACTTAAATTGAACTGAACAGCTCTTGCAAGTGCTCTGGATTAAGAAGCTGTTCATGTCTGCAAGGTGCAAAACACCTTGTGGCTGGATGACACTTTATCCCTCACATAATCACCCAGGCAAATGTTTCTGTGCCCAGATGTGGTTAAATACACGTGCTGTGCTCTGTAAAGAGCCAGTATTAATTTTCTGTTCTGACTGGGAAATTACATCAAAAGCAGTGTTAGAGGAACCAGGTGAGCTCTTGTTTTCAAGCACTGTCAGTGACCTAGAACCCAAAACCAGCAGAGCTTAATGCTCTGTTGAACAAAGCATCTGCTGGCAGTCATGTGTCACTTAACTTTTTTTTTTTCCTCTTCTGAGCATTTAGGGAACCATCTGGTTATTTGCCAGGTTAACTTGATTCTGTTAGGGTGATCTTATTACAGCTGGATTACAGGTTAGCTGTGTCAGGATTAGTGTCCTGCTATCACAGTGAGTGAGATTTATGCATCAGGAATGTTTTATGCAGAGATGTCAGAATCAATACTGGGGTAGAGGAAGAGGGAACTTTTTGTACTTGTACAGTTCCTACCTCAGTCTTCCAGGACCTTCTCCAGAACAGTTTGTCAGCCTTTAGCAGCTGACTTCTCTTGTTAGAGGACTCTGCAATGTGATTATCTTTTCCTAGAAGAAGCAGGAGGAAGAAACAATTTTTTAATTTTTAAAACACTTGACAAGTTGTCACTAAATTACATTTTCAACTTGCTTTTTAATTTCTGTTGCTTTGTTTCTGCTTTTCTTCCAATTAATGACCCAGTAAGTTTGAGGGTGCAGCTGCAGACCTGTTTATTGAGTTATGAATGCAAAGAAACTGGGATATGACCTTTTGTCATCTGATGTGGCAGCTGTGTGTGATGTTGACTGCTTTTCTTGTGAGATCCTTAAAGCTCATTGTACTTGAACCTTTATCAGCTGAGCAAGGCAAGGGATCAATAGCTGCACTTTCCTTGCCAGACTGAGAGGAAGGAAATTATTCTGCAGCTAAGACTGGGAGCAGAGGATGATGTTGGAATTTTCCTGCTAGAGAAACTAACCCAAGTAATTCTAGTTTTGATATTTATTCCACTCAAATTTTTAAATTATTTTTATTTTATGCTAAAAATTATTTGGAGGAAAAGGACTACTTAAGAAACTTTCTCATCCACACCATACACGTAGTTTGCCATTGTGTGAGGTGCTTGACTGTCCAAACATTGACCCTGCCTAGCATAGATGATCTGATGGGGTGACAATGCATTTTCTAAACACTTGGCCAAAACCCAGCTCTGGGTGAGGTCAGATCCCTAAAGTCACCTAATGCCTCTTCAGTCTGTTGCAGTTACATTAGTCAGTGTTCAAACAATAGCTGTGTTGATGTATCTGCAGCCTCTTTGGAGTTTTTTTAGTAGCTATATGTTGTTTAATTAGATGTTTAAATTCTTCCAGACTTTTCACTTGCATATTTCCCAGTAGTATAGCCAGGCAGTTAGCAGAGACATGTTTAAGTTTTTACTTTTCAGGATATTGGAAAAGTTGATCCATTCCAGTGAAATATCTGAAGGTATCCTAAGGAAATTAGCTCTTTGAATATTCAGGTGAAACATCTAACTACACAAGTGTCAATCTGTCACACTGCTTTCCCTTTGACTGCAGCTGCAGATGATTTTGCATGTGATTTGTAAACTTGCTTTCCTTTCTTACAGGATGATGTGAGGCAGAAAGTGCACCTGAATACCTTTGGCTTCTTCAAGGATGGTTTCATGATAGTCAATGTCAGCAACCTTTCCCTGAAGCAACCAAGGGGCTATGACATGAAGGGTTTATCAGTAAGTTCCTTGGGGTCCAGGGACTGTGGGAAACCTCCTGTGAAATCCCCCTTGCACTGGAGACCTTGGGTTGTCTGAGGTGTCAGATCCAAACTGGGGGTGCTCTGGTGCTGTTGGTTTTGCTCCCCTCTGTGAGCCATGGGTGGGGATATGTATATTGAGATTTATCCTTGAGCACTCTCCATTCTGCTTTAAGGATGAACTTTTAACTTATTAGATCTTCTGCTGAACTCGATGCACACATCTATAACTTATGTTGAACACCAACTTCCTAAGCAGTCCTCTGATGTGAGCTTTTCTCACGTTGTGTCCTGTTGCATTGCAATTCATCATGTGGTCATTGTGTCAGTAGGTTTCCAGAACAGTGACAGTCTTATTTTTAGAGAACTCTAACATTACTTGATGTATTAGGGATTTTAATGGAGAGACTGAAATGCTAGGTTCTAAAACAGGTCTGAGTTCTTACTCTTCTGCACAGTTCAGCTTCCTTATTGCTAAAGGTGTTAAATGTTTTTGTCAAGCAAAAACACCTGGAACAGTATTGAAATAAGTTAAAAGGTTCAGGGACACAAGGTACTCTAGATGTAGTTTGATTTTGAATCAATATATTTTTTTTTTCTTGGTGGGTGTGGATGAGGCAGCAAGTTTATTATATTTGAAAAGTTTTTTATGTCTGGTTAGATGATGAAAAAAATACTTGGATTCTGCCTTAAATGTAGGTTGATTTATTTAGAAAGCAGTGTCTTTGACTCTTTCAGTAATGGTTTGACAGATTGTTCTCAATTGTCTCCTAGGTGGGGTTCAGTTTGGATCGAACAAGGAACGACGGGTTCTCCACTTACCTGGTAAGAGTAAGACAAGTGAACTTGCTCTTCTAAGCTGGGACATCTCATAGTCTACCATGCTCTGAAAATGGTTGGAAGAAATAAAAAAAAGGGGTGGGGGGAGGACTTTAGGCATGAGCAGGATGTGAAGGATAATTTGGTTTTACAACTTGCTGAGCTAAGGCTGGTGACCTCTACCTGGAGGGGGGAACATGTCCCATTTCTTATAAACCAGAGGGTGCTTCAGAGGTGCTTTGCTCTTGTTACCAGGATGAAGAAGTGGATTACTGTATCTTGAGAAAGACACCAGAGCCAGATGTCTCTGTTGTAATTTTACTTCTGGAAATCGAAAGCAAAGTGTGAGTAAATAGTGTACACAACATTTTAAAGTTACGTCTTTAGTTGAAGATAATGTAACCCTTGAGATTTTTTTTAAGGGCTTGGAAAGCTGCTGCACATGTAATTTGCTTTTTTTTTTTTTTTTTAAGGGGTTACTTGAGAGTAAAAGTAAGAAATCTGCAGTGTAAAATGGTCCAAGAATTCTTGCTGCATGTTGGAGGGGAAGGGGAACATCAGGTGACAGCAACCTACCTTAATTGTGCTGAAGGAATGAAGCCTTGGGTCACTTTTGCAGCTCTTGCACTGAATGTGCCATTTTATTGTCTTGAATTATCTATTTTGTAGAAGGATCTTTGGGGGTGGGTTGCTTTCTCTTGCAAGAATATCTGAACTGTTTGTGTGGAAGCATAGTTTCTAAGGAGACTCTGGTTACCAAAGCTGAAGAACTTAATTTTCTTCTACTGTTGTTGTATTTGATGTAAAGTGTGACTTTTCCCACAGTTCAGTGCCACATTGCTGTAAGTCACCATCTGGTTCTTGCCTGTTCTCTGTCTACAAAATTCAAGTCAAGAAAGGTTGATTTTCCTTTATTTTTTATGTGCAGGCTGTGACAAATAGCTTCTTTATAAATGTTGGTTTACTTTCAATTTGTAATAAAACCTCTTGGTTTTTTCTTTTTAGTGTGAAAGTACAGTTCTCTGCAGAAGCTGCTTCTTTGTTACCTAAAATTTCATTCATATCTGAGGAAAATGTTACTGCCTTAAGTACCAAACCACTAAAAACTTCTGAACCAAGCAGTGATTCTGGTAAAACCCCTCCAAAGACCAATAAAAATACAGATGGCCAAGGTAAGACAACTAAACCTGACTTGTGTGTGCTCTCTCTGTTCATTCCTCATTGCTGTGCATCCAACACTGTGTTGTGGTCATGTTTTGGGGTCCCCTTGGGCTGGAACTTAGTGCACATCTTGTGTAGATTTGTGCACAAAGCTGCTTTTTGGGCTGGAGTCTTCCTGCTCAGTGATTTGTGTTTACCAGTCCCGTTGATCCAGCAGAGAGATAATGTGAGTATTGGAGACCTTCAGTGCCTTTAAGGAGGGTTTGACAACTTGGTTGTCTTTTATCTGGCAAAAAGAAGGCTAAAGAGGGGAATTTTATGGCCACCACCAACTAGTTGAAGGAAGGTTAGGAGGACAATGATTTCAAGCCATATTTAGTAGTGGCACACATTGCAACCAGTTTCTGTTTCCCCTTAAGTCTTGAGTGTCTCAGGAGGGAAAATAAATAAAATACCTTCCCGTGGTGGGTATTCCAGCACTGTAGCAGATCACTTGTGTAGATTGTAAACCTTTATCTTTTGAGGTTTTAAACACTTGACTAAACAAAACTAGGGCCAATGTGATACAGTATTGACACCAGGCATGCTTTAGTCAGAAGTTGGATTAAATATCTCCAGAGGTCCCTTCCAACCAATATTTGTACAAGTCTGTATGTCTCTAAAGAGTTGAGATCTAGTCTATCACTTAGGGGAGGGAGAAGTAACTGTACTAGTAATCTTTTCTTGGAGGCACAAATCTTTGTCTGGCATCCACACCAGCAGACAAAACAATTTTATAATCTCATCTTGAATGGGATTAGCTCCTGTTATCCCTTCCTGGCAGAGTTTAGGCTTCAGATCAGACTGTTGAGCAGTCTGATCTGAAATAGTCTGAGTCTGTCTTGGCCTGTCATGTTCACAAGCTTTGATGCCATTCAAAAGTTTGCACAGCTGTTCTAAGGAGTCAAGAACTGAGGATGGATGGCACTGAAGATAATTGATCTGACAGCTGTAGTTTTGCTTTTTCTGGTGTTAAAAGGTGTAGCATGCACATGGGCAGTGCACTGAGGTGTGGGAGCCAAAAGCAAAGCTTAAGTCTTGAACTTTTGCTTCCTCGTAGAATGGGATGTTGGAAAAGCTTCTTATAGGAGTAGAGTGAAACTGTGAACTCGACATGATGCTCTACTGAAGGCTCCTATCAACTCAGGTTTCTTGAGTTCAGAACAGATACTGGCTTGGCAGGTCACCTCTGCTTTTAGTAACTTTGGTTTTTTACTGGGACCGTACCTAATGCAAAGCTAGGAAGTTTTTCCTTCCCTAGGGTTAATTAGGACTTCCACATGTTTGTCAGGCCATGTCCAGGTTGAGATTAGTCAGTGAGATAAACAGTACTCAGTCTTAATATTAAAAGTCATGGCTGTACCTACGTCTGGTATTGGTCACCTGCCTCCTGCAGCACTGGCATGGGAGGGGTTGGAAGGGTTTCTGGGGTAGGCTTTTGTGGAAGGTGTAATAGTAGAGAAGCCTATCCTAGCATCTGAGGATGCATTCAGAATGAATGCCAGCTGTGGGAAGAGTTCTGTGAGAGTAAGGAGAGACTGGGAAAGACTCTCTGTTAATGATTATCTAGGAAACTGCCACACTGACAAGTGCAGGAAGATGTGAGTAAGGTATTGACAATGTGCAAAAGGTGAGGATGTCTAAATGCAAGCACTCTAAATGTACCATTAATATTTTATCTCTAGATAAGAAGTCCAAACGCAGTACAACATCCTCCAAGGTAAGAAGCTGTCTGCACTTCTCTTTCAGAAAGAAATCTGGGGGAATATTCCAGTATAATCAGCAGTGTAAACACGGCCTGAAAGTGGAGAGTATTTGCTGTTGCTCTCAGCCTCCACTGTAAATATACAGAATGCAATTTTCATTGTCTGGTGGATGTAGCCAAATGTGTTGGTTACCTGCTTAAAAAAATCTAAAGGTCTCTTTTCCTTTTCCCAGCCTATTATAGAACAAGAACATCCTGTTCACAACGACGGAGGAACTTATTCATTTCAGGTAGGGCGTCTGTCAGGGTCTAAACTTAATGTGTGCAGACAGTTCCTCCACTGTACTACTTTGGAAAGTACAAGTCTGGTGTAGATGTCTCTCTGATAACAAGAGTCCACTCAAAAACTTACTGAGCTAAGAATCAGTGATGGAAATCTCTTTGTGTGGGAGCTGCTATTAAACTGGTTTTGGTGTGATGCTGTTCTAAATATCACAGTCTGCGAGCCTCAGCATATTAAAGTTCACTGTGATGCCACTAGTGCATCCAAATTGCTAATAACAAACTGCTGTGACCTGACTGATTCAAGGGGAAGATATTCTGTATGAAACCAGATTAATGCTTTGTTTCAGCAGCCTGGTTCTCTTGTGATGGTTGGTTGCTATAAACCAACACACTTTAAATTCTGTTATCTGACACAAATCTCATTTCCAGAGCTATCACAATTTGCATAGTTGGGGGAGGAACAGAAAAGCTCCTTATGCTTCAGGGCATGTATTATCAAAAATTTATGCTTCACCATGTTAAATATATGACAGTTTTTGTTATCTCTTCTCTGTGAATTGAGTTAAACACTGATAGTTAAAAGGCTTGGAAAGCCAAGAGTGCATAATCCAAGATGGGTGCAATGATTTTGCATCTGGAATTCTGTTGAAATTTCCAGATATGCTGATATCCCCTAGAACAGCATGTTTGCTGAAAGGAACCAAGTGACCCCAAATGACTGAATTCTTTCATGCTTCAGTAGAGATGGCTTCTTACCAGGGCAACCCTCTTGTGAATGAGAAGAATGCTGACTTTCCTATTCTTTAATTGCAGTTCTTTTTTAACATCAGCTCTGATAGCCAAGAGGGGCTCTACAGCCTATATTTCCATAAGTGTGTTGGCGAGAAGGGGCCAGCTAATGATCAGCTGCGATTCAGTCTGGATGTGAGTATGGCTTCTAAAGTAGAATGAACTCATTCACTTAGACTGAAAGGTGCAGCTTTCAACTCCTGAGTGTAACTGAGCCCACACTGCACGAGTGTACATATGGGGTGGGAAGTGATTCAATCTCTGCAGAAGCATTTCTGAAGGAAGCAACTACCGTAAAAATAATTAAAATACTAGTTTCGTAGAAATGTTGGAAAATCTGAAGAGTGACTGTGGGCTGGGTTCAGTGTACACAGCTCTTGTGACTAGATGCTGTAATGGGATGGGAGCTAAAACAGCTGTTTGTGTCTTGCTGCACTCAAGCTCACTTTTTTCTTTACATTGTTGCACGTATTAAGGCTCTTGCTGCAATCTGAATTGTTGGTATTTGTGAATTCAGTGTCATTGCTTGTTCTGGCCTAATTAAAGATGTGTTTTTATGGTGTTAAATGCATATTTTAAAGGCAATATGTTCTAACAAATGTCTCATCTCTCTTGATATCCAAGGGTTTGGTCCTGTGTTTGTTTGGGCATTATCACATCTTTGGTTTTCCCCTTTTTTTCTCTTTCCTGTGCTCATGCTGGTGTAAAATGAGCCAGTCTGTTATGAATCCTCTCACTGACTGAGGTAACTCAGCCAGATCAGACCCCTGAACTGCTTTTTACATGGTAGTGTTGATGCTATTGCAAGGGAGCCTGTGGGTGATAAAACTTAGCAGCCCTGACTTAACTCAGACTGGGCTACTTTAAATCTGCTGCTGAAGTTGTATGTTTAGAAGACCAACTTTTTTAATTGCTGTTTGATCCGCTGAAGAAATTGGAAAGAGAAGAAAACCTGGTTAACTGACCTGCTTGGATGTACTTAGAGTTTCAGTACTGCAAACTAGTCCTAATGCATTATTTTATTGAAGTCCTTGTACATATAATCAAGCCACTTGGGGGCATAAATTGGATGCTAAATAATGCTTCTATTTTCTCAGTCACAGGGTAACAGGCTGGCAGCTTATTGTAGATACTGTTTCTGAATCAAAGGTGGGCAAGCTGTGAAGTTTGGGAGAGGGAACAACTATTCTTTAGGAAAATTACTTTGCCTTTCTCAGTTATGTTGCATAACTGAAAAGTTGTTTTTCAAGGAGATTATTCTTGTGGGAGTAATTTTGCAAAATGTTTTGAGAGTCTTGAGGATAAAGAGTTGGGTTTGACTTTTTTTTTCTTTGAGTCTCATAACAGTTGCTGCTTCAGAAAAGCTCATTTTAAACGGGTGAATTTGATTGTGAACTGTAATTGTGAACTCAGTGCTTTAAAAAAAAATGTCTTTTTTCAACTGTGCCCATAACACACCTTTAATATTCAGATAGAAATTACGGAAAAGAATCCTGAAAGCTACCTCTCAGCAGGTGAAATCCCACTGCCAAAACTTTACATTTCCATGGCTATGTTCTTTTTCCTGTCTGGGACTGTATGGATCCACATACTTCGTAAACGCAGGTAAGCAGGTTAGTTGGGTGTCAGTGACAAGTAGGGGCCTACCTTGTTTGATTTTTATCTTTTATTCCTCCTCTTATAATGCCTAATTCAATATTGTGTGCTTAATACACACAGTTTATATTTGAAAACTGCTTCTGTCAGTATTGTTGTTGCAGACTGTTGTTATGAAGTAAACTCTCATGTTAAAAATTCTTCATGCAGTGTACATATTAAACCATATTATGACAAAAAATAGGAAATTCCTCTAGTTCATGTCTAAAGGAGAACACTACTTGACAATAAATAAGAAAATTTTGATCACTTCTTTCATATGGGAAATGGCTACTTATGGCAGTAGAGAGCCATAAACATGTTGATTGCTGTTGAAAGTTATAGGAATTCTGAATTGAAACCCCTGCTGCTTAATAGTTATAACATAGCAAAGGAAGCCAGCAGCACCTGTGGTTCTGTTTGGCTTTTCCTCTAAGTTAGCCTGAAGTTCACTTGGTAACCTCTTTGTTGGTAGTTTGAAGTTCACTTGGTGATCAGATGATTTGGTATTCAGGGGTTCACCTGGTGATGTGGTGCAGGGACTTGGGCTGAAGGGTGGAGTGATACACATTTGAAGTATGTTTAGCAAATTATCTAACAATTGAGATTATATATGCAGGATATGTGTATTAATTGCTATTTTTAATTAACCCAAGTATAAAAATCAGGGGTTTAGAACATGTAGTTGAAACATTGTTCGGGATGTTGCAGAAACTGCAGTATTCAAGGGAATCCTTTTGCACTAATGGTCAGCTCAGCCTGGGGGGTGACTGTTTGACACTTAAAGGCTTTAAAGAAATATCTTCTTTTACTGATGATTCTTTCTTTAATTGATGCTCCTCCTTCTTTTCTTTCTTCCCAGAAATGATGTTTTTAAGATTCACTGGCTCATGGCAGCCCTTCCTTTCACAAAATCTCTGTCCTTGGTCTTCCATGCGGTACGTGGATGTCTCTGCTGTTGTTGTTCACCTGGGAAAGTAGAAACATGGAATCCAGGGCATGCTGTTAGAGAAATCTGCTTCGGAGAGGAGGGAGAACTGTCCTTCATGCTGAAGCATTGGAAATGAGCTGCAGCTCTTTGGTGGAAGTGATTCAGTTTTCATCAGCAAATTCTGACTTTAAATACAACTGAGATCATGGCCTGAAGTGTTGAAGCAGCAAGGGTTGAGGGTTTAATGAGCTCCACAATTTCTGATGTTTTGGCCATCTGAGGCTGGCCTGGAAGCTTGAGCTCTGCTGCTGCCTCAGCTGCATGGCTTGCTGTGAATGTTAATAAATAGAAACCTTGATGAATGTTTGTAAAATTCAAGGGCACTACTGTAGGTGAAGTAATATGGTGTATGGTAACAGACCTCACCTTATCAGCTTTAAGACTTTCAATAGATAAAGTGTTGGAAATGTATTGACTTTGCCTTTCCACTGGAAAGATCTCATAAACAAAGGTAGTGGCAAGCATTTAATCCTTCAGTGTTTATGCCAGCCATGATCTTCACCTTCATGTTCGTGGCAAAATAGCTGCTACAAATATTTTTGGAGTCTAATGAAGTGAATTTGGCTTCCAGTGAAACTAGAAAGCCTCTAGTTCAGGGAATGCAACTGAACTTGAACAATGAATGAATAAATGGGTTCCAAATGCAGTTGATTCACTATAGCTAAGCATGGGAGTGTGTGGGAAGGATGCAGATTGTACGAGATACATCCACTAACTATTAAGAAATACAGCAAGTGGAAATAATCTCGTTGCTAAACAAAACTAGAATGTGTTGGGAGGGAGTGATCTCTGAATGTGACAGAGCTGGGTTTGCACACACTGGTTGGAGAATGAAACTTGAAGTGGTTGTCAGGCAGATCTGTTTTACAGAGGGTAGGGTGCTGAAGAGCAGCTTGTAAAGTGCTGTATTTTCTGCTTCCAGATCGACTATCACTACATCTCTTCTCAGGGATTTCCCATTGAGGGCTGGGCTGTTGTTTATTACATCACTCACCTGTAAGTATGTCAGAAGATGGATGTGATAGATTCAGACAATAGAATGAATTGCCTGTGGGGCTGCTTCCCTCCTGAGCAAACTGGGAAATTGTTGTCTTCTCATTCAGGCCACACTACCAAAGAATCAGCAATCAGCCCTGAGTGAAGGGGAAAGCTCCACTTACAGAGGGCAGCTGCAGAGGATTGGCACTTCTGTGGGTGGAGGAGTAAAAGGATAACAAATGCTTTGCTTTCCTTTGTTCACACTAATATTCAAGTATCTAATTTGCTCTTGGTGTGAATGGTAAGAGGGCACAGCTGCCTGTGTTTGCTGCTGTTCACGGTGGTGAATGGATGACTCCCCCAGGAAAAGATTGCATTTAATGACAATTGTGAATGAAGCCTAATACTGCTCTGTGGTACACAGTTGTAGGCAAGTACATCTGCTTCACTATTGTGGGATGGATAAGTGCTTGCCAAAATTATGAATAGCAAAGCATTTGTTTGGGTTTGTGGCTTTGCTGGCTGTGGGAGAGAACCTGGGCAGAAGAGGAAGTGTGATAAAGTCTCTCACTGCAGTGTGTGTTTCTCTTGCAGGCTGAAGGGTGCCCTTCTGTTCATCACTATCGCCCTCATTGGCACAGGCTGGGCTTTCATTAAACACATCCTGTCAGATAAAGACAAAAAAATTTTCATGATTGTCATCCCACTTCAGGTGAGGACTGAGGGGCGTCGATATTTCCTGTATTCTGGGAGAACTGCTTTTGCAGACGGGAAAAGGCTGTGCAAACTTCACATAGTATCACATATTTACTGCTTGTGTTGGTTACAGTATAAGTTGAGCTGGAATTTCCTGGGCTAGAAGTTACTTCTGTAGTATTCCCTATTTTTCCCTCTATATTGAGCATGAGGTAATGCTGATCAAATAGTTTCAGCAAATGAACAAGTGGCTGTATTCATGCTTGGACAAAATTTGGGCTGGCTAACAGTACTAAACTACAATGCAGAGAAATTAAATGAAAGCTGTTACTTCTGAAATGTTTCCTGAGTGACTTCTGGAAATAAAAATGAGAAAACCAAGACTTGTAGGCCTGGTGGGTCTGAGGGAAACATTCCCAGTGTGTTCAAAGTAATCAGTCTCCTAGTCCAGGAACTGAAGTACACAGGAGAGCAGCACTTCTGTTTTTTGTAGATAGAACAGTTTTTTGGCCTTTCCTGATGAAATCCCTTACCCAGCTCCAAACCAGAAGTATAGAATTAGTGTTTGAGGCTCTTACAGAGCTCAGGTGTGGAGTACAAAAAATGGTCGATGACCTGTCTGAATTATTGGCTTAATTTAGAATTATGTGCTTAAACTATTGTCTGTATGTGCTTCTGCAGAGTCCTGCTTCTATATATAAAAACAATCAGATTTTGCTCTCTTTTTCTCTACTGATATATAAATCAGTAGATTCAGCACAGTATATAACAAAAGAACTATTTTCTGAACGTCAGCAGGAATAAGTCCCCATCAGTTTTATTTCTGTAAAACCTTGTGAAGATGTTGCTGAACGTGTGACTTCTTGATGTAGAGCTGCAGAAAAAGTATTGATGTTACTGAATGGGCTTTTGCTGAACTGGCAAGACACATCTGGTGTCTCCTTGGGAGGTTTCTGAAGCCCTGGAACGTGTCTCGTGGTGCAGGTGCTGGCGAACGTGGCGTACATCATCATAGAGTCCACAGAGGAGGGCACGACTGAATATGGCCTGTGGAAAGAAATCCTTTTCCTGGTAGACTTGCTGTGCTGTGGAGCCATCCTGTTTCCAGTGGTATGGTGAGTTGCTGTATGTGTTGTGTGGTTGCAGAGCCCTGGTGGCTTGAGCTGTTTCTGAATTAATGGGCACTGACAGCTCGTTAGAGCTCCAGGTACTGCAAAGCAAAAGGAGTCAGTGGTCCTGTGGAGTCAAGCATTCTGTTGTCTTTCTTTAAACTTTATAAGCTTTGACACTTCAGTCTGGTGTTGTGGAAGACACTGTTTTTGGGGATGTTAGTGGGGGTAAGGTAAGGTGGGTAGTGATGTAAATGTGACCAGCACAGTGCAGGCTGTAAGTGCTTTTGAAACTTGGAATTTTGCACAAGTGTTGATTCTCTAAATTGAAAAATGGGATTTTGCTTCACTGACTGAGATTAGAAACTAGACTGCTAAATTTTAAGACAATACTGTTGTCTAAGATCAGGGCTGCCTTCAAGCAGAGTAGCTGCATGTTTATTTGACTGTTGAGAAGAAATAATCCCACAGGGAGCATTTCCCCGCCCTTCCTTCCACTCTACTTGGCAAGGAATAATGTTGGTTATATAAAACCCGACCAAAACACAGATAATTCAGATAAACACTATTGTTGCTTCTTGCCAGTTAGCTAGAACATTTATCTTCTAAATGCATTTTGTCTTAATTGGATAAACAGCTGGGTTTAAAGGAAGATATGGAGAAGCTTCTGTCTCCTTGGTTAGTAAACACAGAATATTCTTCTTTTTTCTTCAGTATCTCTATTTTTTTCTGAAATGCAAAATGTATGTAGAATGTATACAAATGTCTGGTAACAGGTCATCTCTCCTGATGGTGTTACTCTAATTTTTTAGATAACTCTGTTGCTCAGTAGGTGGAAATAAGCTTCAACTTGACTTGTGATGGTGGGTTTCAGCTGTCCTTCCCTTTCTGATTGTATTGTGTGGAAAGGCAGAGCCCTACACAGTCCTGGTGGCCTTCTGCCAAGAATGGGAAATGTATTCCAAGAAATTTGCCCTACTCACTTGTCCTTTCCTCCTCTCCAGTCAAAATGCTGCAGCTCTGAGATTGAGATATTTGGGTATGGCAAATAAAATTGCAGGGATAATAACTTTACTTGTAGTCAGACTGATTTCCTATGATAGAAGTGACTTCTACAGTTGCAGTTCTTGCTGCCTAGTGCTGAAATCCACATGTCCAACCTAGTGATAGGCTGGTGCAAAATTCACTTTCCATAAAGGAACTGTATTTGAAGAAGAAATGCATTCAGGTGACCTGTCCTATGACTGTTTAAAATGTGCAGCCAGTGTTCCTGCATTGCCAGGGTGCCAACATAAACTGGCAGTGAAGCCCCTGACATAAAATCCTGCCCCTTTTTCGTCTGCGTAGTGTCACTGCAGCTGGTGAGATGATTCATGTGAGCAAGGTGACTAAGACTTGGCCCCTGGATTTACATTCCTGCAGGGTAGTTTCTGTTACATAAGTTGCCTATGTAGATGTGTAAGCTGCAATCAACTATTTAAATGAAAAGAGCTTAAAAGAGCAGTAAGATGCCAAATGCTTGGCAGCTCTCTGAAGAGTGGCTCAGCTTAATTTTACAAGTGGAAAGCATTATGCTGGAAAATGCCCCAGTTTCTCACTCTGCTCCCTCCCTCCCTCCCACAAACCTTTCTGTAGGCTGAAGTGGGCTTTAGCAATCTGCTTTCTTAATCCCAAGGAAACAGAGATACTTGAGCTAACTGCCTGAGCTGGGGGCATGAGGGTGAAGTGCGTGCAGTGCCAAGCACAGTTAATTCTGATCACACCCCAGCCATAAAGAGCTAACAAAACTTGTCAGTGATCTAGAGGACTACAGTAGAAAGAGAGTGTAAAACTTATAACTAATCTATTCTTTATTTTTATTTTTCAGGTCAATAAGACATTTACAAGAGGCTTCAGCAACAGATGGGAAAGGCAAGTAATCTTTTTTTTTTCTGCTTTATGCCTCATGTCATAATGCCAGAATTTCAAACATGTGATGCTAATTTAAAATATGTAAACTAAAACTATAAATCTAAATTATTTTAGTGTCACTCTGCTTTTCCTCAGTGGGCTCGTGGGAATAGCTTTTGGAAAATGACCTTTTTCATGTATTGCTTTGACTATCAGAACTGCTATGTGTAACTCCTTCTCTGCTGCCTGCACAGCTCTCTGTGCTTGAGCTAAACATGACATCTAGAGCAAATCATCTTGACAGATTTGCCATTTTTTTTCTCACTTGAATGTTCAGAAGCAGAACTAGAAACGAATTCCAGAATTGCTGACTATTAGTCTAACTAGACCCCCTTATTTCAATCTCTGCAGAACTCTGTTCCTGGCAGAAGAGAGGGAAACAAACCTCATTATGAAACAAAACCTAACTTGGCATTCAGTGTAGCACAGTTCTTGACTTGTCCATGTTTGTACAGCAGCTCCAAGGGCTGCTAGTGGGAAGTGGAGTGATGTTTATTGTAGCAGTGAAAATGAGGTGATGGATGGAAGGCCAACCCAAGTACAGCTGCTGTAGTGTGTGCTTTTCCTGCCTTATCTGCTCACTTCTGAATTAGTTCCTCAGATACAAGCTATGGAGCATACTCTGATCTCCTTGGAAGCAGGCAGCCATTTCAATCTTCTGTCATTTGACGACTTATTCTTCTTGGAAGCTTCATTTGTAGAAGGTCATTTGTTGGCAACAGCTTTTTAACCCAGTCTTATCCTTTAACTCTTGTCTTTCCTTTCTGGACATGTATTCCCAGGTCTGGATACTTCTTCCAGCCATTTCCTTGGTTTTCACTGCCACTCTTGCATTTCACTGCTGATTATCTCTGTAGGTGAAGTATAAGGCTGGGTACTGAACTCAGCCCTGTTCAGACCACAGATTAGGGTTTTGGGGTTTTTTTTTTGCCATCTGTTAAATTGAAGCCATACTTACAATGAATTTGGGGTTTTTTTATGTTCCGAGCTGTTTAAAAAAACCAACCAAATAACAACCATATAAACACACAAAAAAACCCCCTCCAAACTTAAAGGTGGAAAATTATTAATTTCTAATAGAAACAAATGTAAAAAAAGGTCAGTTTTAATAATGTAACGTGAATGCTTTTGGTAGATTTATTATCAATGTGTTCACTTGGGTCCAGTGACATTCACTGATGAATTTGTTATATGTTGTCCACCGAGCATATGTTCTGGTGTATTTATGCTCTTACTGTTAAAAAGTGCTAAAATTTAAATACTCCTTGAAGCAGTCTCTTCTGAATGGAGGACTTCACATATGTCAGGCCTGGTTCTTCCCTGGGTGGCAGTGGATCTGACTGTCCTGGCACTGAGCACACAGCAGTTAGTGCGTGTAACCGAGACACCGATTCCAGATCTGTGTGGCCCCAGGTGATCTCCCCGTGCCTACCTTGGTTCTTATCACAAGATGGTGCTATGGAGTTTACTTAGCTTCAAGTATCCTGAGTGAAGGAGAGGTGGCCAACAGCAAAGATGTTCAGCGTCAAGGCTGGACCTGTCCACTGTCCTTCGTAACCGGTGGAACCCAGATCTGAGTAAACCCAAGCAGTTCTGAAGGATGCACTGTGGTGTGTAAAAGAAAATGTTAATTTGAGAGGAAATGGCTGTCTCTTTACAGTCAGTCAGTGCTATGCAGAGTAGCCCTTAAGGGCTGTTTTAGTCCTCTGTATTGTGTTGTTCTCCATGGGTAATGATGCTCTTTAAATCATGGATGTTGCTTGTGGATCACCTACTGCTGTTACCAGCTTTATCTGCTGGTGTTGCCATCTGGTTGTGCAGATCCTGCGAGTTCAGTAACTGTGAACTGTGTGCTGAGAGGGACTTAGCAACTGTGTTATGCTACACTAATAATAAAACAATATCTAAGGAAAATATTTTCAGGGGAAACATTGCATAGGCTGACAGCAGATTGTGGCCAGGAGAGCCACAGTGCTGGGAATCACTTGTGAAACACAATCTGTTTTGACTATTTAGAGGCTGTTGATAGGAGCCCACGGGGAGCAAGTGGATGGCAATGTGATGCCAGAAGCAGAATGTGACCTAATGATGTCATGCTGTTAGTGTGTCTTGTTGAGAAAACCAAAAGTGATTTGGTTGCACTGTAAAATGTAAAATCATTCATGCTAGGCTTATCAATGAATAGTCTTTACTAGAACCAAATGCTCTTTACTCTGGAGGCTTCCCTTGGAGGCCCTGTTCTGCAGAGGTGCTCCTTGGTATCTCAGCTTCTCATATGAAGAATAGAACCAGCACAAACTCTCAAATCACCAGCATTTTTTTCTTGCCGTTGAAGGTAGTTTTCTCCTGAAGTAGTAAAAATTACTGGATCCTCTCATGCAGTTTAAGTGCTGCACTGCCTGTCCTGTGGTTAGAACAAGATCTTGTGCAGACAGTCCTTGTTGGACTGGCTGTTTCCTGCTGGGATTTATTGTCTAGTCAAAGGCTGTTTTCCCTGTAGCTTCCTTAACTTATTAGGTGTATTGGGGAATTACATACTATACATTCACTAGTTGTTTTTCCTGGCATTGAGTCTTCTGGTGACCTTCTTACCAGTGAGAGAGGCCTAAGGGAAATTATTTTTGCTTCTTTGCATCTGTTAGAACTAACAAATCCAGGACTTCATGGCTTGGTATCTTGGTGGTGTTTCCTGACTGTTTGTCTTGTTCTCTTCCAGCTGCTTTTCCCCCTGTTTATTAGGGAGCACTGCCATGGGTCAAGTGCAGCCGTGACTGCGATGTGACTGGACTCGGAATGAAGCAGAAGGCTGGTTGGATTTACCAGCCCTTTAGTCTCAGGGCTGTGCTTGCCATAGGCCTTTGTTTTAGCAATGTACAATTAATAAAAAGGCTTGTTATAAGCGGCAGTGATTTGGAGTTACTAGCTGATAGTCACTTAAACCAGATTATTTTTATTTTAAGTTATTCTGAAGTACAAAAGCTAGAGGAATGGGTCTAAAGCCATCATTATCCAGGAAGACCTGACATATACAGATGCTGTGGATTGATAGTGAAGAGTAGACATGGCAGAGTGATACAGCTCAGTTTGAGCTGCTTGGTTTTTTGCTTTTTTCCCTTGAAGGTGATCTTTAAAGCAGTAAGTCTGACCTACACAGGCTTCTTATCTTGCACAGCAGTGGGTGTAAACATCCCATTTTTAGAAGCTTTTTTTCCTCCCCTTTAAAAATCGCCACCTTCAGACTTAAGCAAGTGCTCAGCTCCACCTCTTTGATCTGTCACTATATCTTCCTTCAGATGGGAGCCTGTGCTCTCTGTCCATTTCTAGATCTGCATTGCAAATGTCTTTGCAGACATGTAGATTTAAGGAAATCAGCCTTGCAAACTGACCTAGAATCCTTCAGGCTGCAAAGCTGCTCCACTGCCACCACCTTGTTTACAGGCATCATGAGAAAAGAGAGGGAGTATATATATTATTTATATATTATTTTGTTTGAAATGCCAAGTTCTTGGTCACTGGACCTCTTAAGTCTCATAACCCACTCTAGTCATCATGTCATCTGTTGTTTGAGGGAGGAATGGGGGTTGAAAACATTGCTGCAGTTCGTTCTGCTGGTACCTCTGTGTGTGACTGTGAGGAGAATGTGACACGGCACAGTCAAATCATGGTTTGCTGTTTTCCTGGGGCACTGCAGCATGTCATGGTTGGCAGCAGAATTAGGGGAAATAGATTGCAGTGTGTAGCTCCCAGGCAACATTCCCTGTGTTCTGTGCAGTGGGCAAATAATGATTGGTGCTCTCATGGTTGCCCCCATGGCAGGAAAAACCACTTGCAGTATTCAGTGTCTTCCTGCTGCTGTGCCATGAAAATGCTGTGAACAAAGAGCCTGGTCCTGTGTGGTGCAGAGCAGCCTCTGCTTGGCTCAGCTCAGCACCACTTCCAGGTGCTGTCCAGGGTTGATGTAGTAGCTGCATGTTGGAGATACATTGCTTATCCTGTACTTTGGACTTTCATCTGACCCTGGTGGAGACCTTTTGTGCCAAATGGCTGATGTATTCTGGGATATTCAAGATGAACCAGTCTGTGCCACCTTCTCGTGCGTGACACTGGGTGTTGCTGTGTCTATCTGACCTCCTCTTTCAGGAGTGCTTTTAAGCAGAGTGCTCTGGAGACTGTAGAACCACACTTCTCAGGCTTGCTTTTTTGAGGTCTGGATCTACATGTGGGCTGCACCACTGGGGAGAATAGAAAACTTCCATTTGCAATTCGATAATGGCACAGATCACATCTCAAATGCACCAGAGTGAGCAAGAGCAAGTAAAGCATTGTAGAGATATTCTCAGCTGTACTTGAGTGTGTTCTCTTGCTGCATTATAGTTTGCCTTTTGTACTGTATTGTCTGGGCTCGAGCTCCTTGTGCCCTCAGCTGCAGTCCTGGGATTGTTAGTACATATGTATTCTGAAAAGGTCAGATGTGTTCATCAAAAAACTGTGGTGTGGTGTGCAGGGCTGCAGTGGATGGTCCAACTTTCCTTTTTCCATCTTACAGGCAGTGTCAGCATTGGAAATTAGCACAGGGGCAATCTGAAAAAGAGACTGCTTATCAAAATACTGGCGTGTGCTGTGTTTTGGTTGATGCAGATCAGGCTATTGCAGACACAAGCTGTTAAAGTAAATGGTGATAGAGAGGGAAAACTGAGGGAAGCAAGGTATAGATGTTATAAGTCTTTCTTGGAAGGATGGCTTTCATCTTTTTAATTACTCTATGAAAGAGATGGAACACAGGTATGAATTAATTTGTAAAACCATGGGTAGAAAGTCTTTTTAATTTTATTTTTTTCCTTTCTCTGCAGTTAAGTACTGTTCTTTGCACAATGGTTATCATACTCGAAACATAAATTTCCCCAACCTTTGCTGCCTGCTGTGTCTGTTGCTGTGTTATCACAGCTTTACAGGCTGGGGCTGCAAGTGATTCAAGTTGTAAGTGACAGCTGCTGGCCAAGCCTCACTCCCTGCAAGTGCTGCTGTCAGTGCCCGGGCTGCCAGGCTGAGGTGAACAGAAGTCTTTAAGTGTCCAGGACAGCAAGACTCAAATATGACTGCTTGGAGCACGTTCAGCCTGTGAAGAAGCAATTCATAGGCTGCTGATGCCAAGCAATGATGATTTGAGATTTTCTCCAGAACAGTGTGTCCTGTAACTTTTGAGTTGTTTAAAAAAAACTGGAAGAATTTTGTAGACATGCATTAATACTGACTTGAGTATCTGATAGTGGAGAGAAGTATTTCTGCTGTTGAGGCAGCTAGAAGAGAGCACCTGGTTCTAATAAATCAGCAAGCCAACTTCCACAGGTGACTTTTTTGCCTTTCTGCTTGGTGGTGGTTGCCTTTTTTCCTTCCTTCACCCTTCTTTCCTATACTCAGTCATTCTGGATGGGTGGATATACCAGCTTATGACTCCTTGGTATTGATTAGCATGATGAGTAGGTGAGATCTTGAGCTGTGCTTTATCAACTGGGAGAGGTGGCACTGTGACACCTCAGTTGGCAGCCAGATCTTTGTCTTTGCTGTCCTTTCATCCTCTGCACTGCATGAATCCAACAGAAATGACTCCCCAGCTCGCTGTTGTTGACTGTAAAGCACTGATGGACTGGCAGTTTGAATCACAGCTGTTGAGTTGGTGTTCCTTGAGCTACAAAGCCTGGTAATTCTCATGGTCTGTCAGTGCACCAGTTGGTGGCAGTTCCTGAAGTTGGATGCGTTGAGTTCAAAATAGATCCTTCTGTGTGCAAACCGGTGTGTGGGAAATCACAAGATCTTCATGGTCACACTTAATGCAGCTCTCCTTTAAATAGGACAATATTGCTTCCCTGCTTCGTGATTTAATGCATATTTACACATTTTAATCTTTCACCAACTCTGTTGGGAAAAGCTTTTAACATCAGGTCATCATGCCTTGTGTTAGTCAAGTGCTGCTCTTGGAGTGTTTCTGCTGGAGGAGGGTTTGTGTTTGTCTCAGGGTGTCTGTAGCTTTCAGTGGTTCTCATGGAACACTAAATATAAGCTGGAAAGGGACTCTTGATCTCTAGATTATACAAATTAACTTTATAACAGAATGTTGCCTGACTTCATTGTAGTTGCTGTAGTTTATTTGAACAGGAGTTTATTTGAAGCAGTGCATTTGATGTTGCCTTTCTTTAAGAAAAGCTGCTTTGTTTTTGTCACAGGAAGTGAAGCATTTCTTTGGGAGCTATTAGCCCTTCTCCTCCTCATGTGTAATACTATATTTTGCTCTCTTGTGAACCTGGAAGACCTTATGTGCAAATATATGCAGCCTTTTGTAACTCTGTGCTGGGGGTGAATTCTGTGAGGAGGTGCAGGTGAACTTAAGCACAATGTATTGCACTTCCACATCTGATAAATACATTATGAGGGCTTGGAGGGACTATCAGTAAATATGTGGCAACATTTTTTAACTGGCAGCTTGTATCATCGGCTCTAAGCTGCACCTCTGTATGCTGTCAACATATCTTGGGCTCTTTGCCTCTCATGTTGTCACAAAAGCATCAGGAGTCTGTGTTCATAATCCTGCTGCACGTATAAGACCTGACTCTCAAACCAGAGTTGACAGCTGTTCCATCTGTTGTTGACCTCAGCTCGTTCACATGAGCGTCTGCTGTGCTCCTGCAGCTGATGGGATCTGTCCAACCCACGGAGGTTCGCCCGGGGCCTTGGCTTGCACGGCTTGTGACTGAAACACATGCGTTTAATAACTGTTTAGGATGATTTCCCGTCTCACTTGTAAGCTGTGACAGAGCCACGAACATCCTGCTTAGATGTTAAAATGCCTGTGCTGCAGTTCAACAAGATGCAGTGGTTCCCAGAGCTGTGATTACCCCAAAGTTGCTCAGGTCAGCAAGGACTCTAGAAAAGACAGGAATTTTCTAGGAGGTGGTGTCAGGTGGTGTGGTGGCCCTTCTGGCAGGAGTGAGGTGACTGTATCTACTTGGCTGTACACAGGTAGAGGAAGGCTCTATATTGCAGAGTGTGTGCACATAAAAATTAGTGTAAAAGCAATCTGAGTTCCCTTTTTAAGAGAGAACTCACCCCAGCCTGACAGTTGTCCAGTGTGTGGACACTCCAGTCTGGCACTCCTTGGAGCACCCAGTGGGGTGTGAGACAAACCCTTCTAGCCTGGGATTAATTGAGTCCTGGTTTTGACCACTTGTCTACCCTGCAGACAAGCATAAAAATTAACTGTCTCATTTTAACAATTTTCTGATGGACTTCTGTGTTCTCTTGATAGCTGCCATTAACCTAGCAAAGCTGAAGCTCTTCAGACATTACTATGTTATGGTGAGTAAAACACCTGTACACAGGCATGCAGAGCACTTGGAAGCTGTTCAAACCCTTAAATGGAATACTTGTTGGAAGCTACCACACCTGGTGGACGTGGTAGAGGTGCTCCTAGCTCTGTGCTTTGGCATCTTGGTCAACTGGCTTACAATCCTAAAAGCAACTTCCCTTTTTTTCCTAATGGTTGCATCCTTCTGTCTATCTTTAAATTGATTCCAGCTATTTGTAATGCTTCCTGATTTCCTCTGGAGACAGCTTGAGCTGCCAGTTGAATTGATGGGCTTGAATAACATACTGTAAACTTGCTAAAAATTAAACTTGGGACCAAATGGTGCCTTGAGATGCATGTGTGCATTTTGTGATGAAGTCAGTGGGAGCCATGGGTATATCTCCCAGGAGAACACAGGCTTCTTAATGATTTCCAACAGCCTCATTTCAGGCTCTTATAAGTGGTAAGAGTGATAAATTACAGTCGTGATTCTTCAAGTTGTATGAAATCGTAATACTTAAAGCATTTCCTGCTGTAACGTGAGCGTGTTACCAACAGCTGGAGTTACTTGGATGTTGAACAAGCAGTAGAGCCCTCAGCCTATATCTTCCATGTTTATCAAGGAGCATAATAAGACCAGTCTGACATAAGGAGTTGTTTGGGAATTGCTTGAGCTCTTTCTCTGGGACAAAAAGGTTCTGTAAGGACGGTGCTATTGTTCTCATCACGCTTTCTTCTTTTCCTTCCCAGATTGTGTGTTACATTTACTTCACACGGATCATTGCCATTCTCATAAAGATTGCTGTTCCATTCCAGTGGAAATGGCTGTACCAGGTATTTGCCAGCAAGGGAAAATACATCCATTCCTTGGCTTTTTTTTCCTCTATTATTCTTTAAATATAACTGCACCAAAAAAATCCATAAATTGGTCCTCATGTTATAGTAGAACATCTCAAAGCACAGTGCTGCACCCTGTCTTCTGATTTTTATCAATGTTATGCTTAAGGTGAAGGAATATATTTTTAGTCTTATGTTTGTCCAGTGAGCCTGCTGGATTATACATGAGATGTCTGAAAGTAATTGCATTATTGATTTTTTTTTTTAGTCTTTCAATTTAAAGATCTCTGAAGGAAATTAATCAAGAACATACAAAGGAGGAAAAAAAAAATTTGTCAGGTTTGCCCTGTGTAATTGAGGCCCCAGGGAGCCAGAGAATTAGGCTTTTGCTCTTCCATCTACAGGCTTTATTGCCTAGTGGCTTTTAAATACTTGGTTTCTTAACATATAATCCAAGTAACTGTGCAGGGAGTCCTTGGAATACATTAACTGTTGAAAATACCAAATAACTTAGGGATGATTTTCCCCCCCTCATTTAAAAGCCAAGTCTTGCCATAGTTCTTTGAAAGCTCTGGATTGATGGATAGAACTGTAACTGTATTTAAAGTGACGGGGAAAGCTGAAAGAACAAAGGGCTTGACAGCCTTTAGCCTGGGATTAATGATACCAGGGCAGGGATTGCTTTATTTCTGCTATGGCACAGGCTCCTTGGCCATTAAACCTTGAACCTTATGAATGAGGAGAAATGTTGTGTGACCACAGAGCATCACAGGACTGAACTTCAGCCTTGTGTTTTCCCTTGCAGCTGCTGGATGAAATGGCCACACTCGTGTTCTTTGTCCTCACTGGGTACAAGTTCCGTCCAGCGTCAGACAACCCTTATCTACAGCTTTCTCAAGATGATGAGGATGACCTGGAGATGGAAGCTGTGTAAGAACCCCCTTCCCTTCCTTTTTTTTTTTTTACCTCTTCACTTGATTTGAGAAAAGTAACGTTTAAAGCCAGTTTACTTTAATCTCTCTAAATCCTTCTCTGAAAAAGATTAGTGTCTGCCCACATGCTTAAAGATGAGGTGTCTGTTTGGTGTGTGTGAAGAGATTTGTATTTATGCATAGGAGCCTCTGACCTGGCTATTGCAGTAGTGGGGAATAAGCTGGTAAAGCTTTTCATGGGGCAAAAAGATGCCCATGAAAATATATCAAGTAATAAAGCTTCTGAGTTGAATTTATGTCACTGAACATGAACAAGCCTTGCAGGTTGTCATCAATGCTTCATATTTAAGCAAAAAAAACCCACAACCAAACCAACAACAAAAATGACCTGCCAGTCTGCAGAACATAAATGACCATGGTGCCTTGGCATTCAGCCTGTAGCTTTGCAAAAATTTATCTAAAGCAACACTGAGCCAAGGAGATGGATTTTTGCTGATACTTTTCCCTGTTCTCTTCCTTGCTGCTAAACCATGAGGCACCACAAATGCTTCAGGAATTGCTCCTGAGCAAGTCTGGAGAAATGATAAAGTAGGGCTCAGCCTAAGTCCCTGTCATTTGCTTTGCAGTGATTTTCTGAGGACTTAGAAAATGAGTGGCATTTCTGAATTTATGACAGAAACTGCCCTAAGAAATTCAGCCTGCCAGGAGTGTTGGGTACAGCTATAACTGCCACAGACTCTGCTGCCTTAATAGGAGCAGAGCCAACCTAATCCTTTAGTAGTTATACATTTCATGCATAATTGCTATTCATGTGCAGGCTCACAAGCCTATTCCTAAGAGTTTTTCCAATTTGGTAAATCTCCTTTACCTGATCTTGGGTGAAATAAATGAACTCTCCAATTTTTAATACAGAAACAAAAAAAAGTCAGAATGTGTTTACTCTCCTAGTTAGCTCAGAAAGAAATGGATCTTACTGGGAAATTGCTACAAGGAGGTTTGAATCATAGAATCCAACCTCAAATGTAATCTTAAGGAGTTGAACTTCTCAGAAATATCGCTAGTAACAAAGATCTTTTTTTAATGCTTAGCTATTTTTGCTTTGGGTCTAGAAAATCTGTCATTTTTTCAAGTGGAATCCAACTAGTGGGTAGTGACCTTAAAATCACTGTCACTTATAGGTGTTAAAATGGTTATCTAAGAAACTGATTTCAGCTTGGCAGCTGGTAAATAAACATTGACATCAGGAAGGCACTGTCTGAACTGGAAGATGTGGCAGAATTTGTGATTGTACCGAAACGGGCTTTTTTCTTTGTTGCCTGTTGGAGTGAATTTCAACTTTGCATTATGTGCTTAATGATTTTTTTCTTGTGGGTTTGTTGTTTTGTTTGGTTTTTTTTTTTAGGGCTAATAATAGGACACCTTTCAAATACAGTGATTTCAATCAATTGGAGAAGTTGCTAAATTTAGGAGAATCTGACAGAAATAAGCTGGAGAAATTTTAATGAACTAATTCAGTGAAATAGAGTTACTAGAAACCCGAGGATCAGAATTCCTTGTGAGCCTTTTCCTAGTAAGGGGTTTTGCTCTTTGCCTTGAGAGTTTCCATTGTTGTGCCTTGTGGGTTGTTCCCTTTAGCCTTGCTCGAATTTTTCTCATCTGATTCACCAGAAGTTTTACTCCATTTGGGCACTTGGCAGGGTATAATCTGTGTCTGGTTCTGCCTTCCCCACCTCCATCAGGGAGGTTAAGTTTGCACTTATTTGAGAAGCAGAGTTTATACACATTCTGTGACAGGTGAAGAACTGCATTGAAAGTGTATTAAATTTCTTGTTGACTTGGGTCTTGCTAGTCCTATTTTTGCATTTATAAATTTTAAGTGTTGCTTCTGGGGGGAGCAGGGGAAAATCACAGATTATTTGAGCAGGTGACTAAGTGCCTGACAGTGTCCTGACTAACCATTGCACGAGTGTTTTGCCTTTTATGTGATAAATACCCACTTGTCTTCAGAGGCTATGGCAGAAGGTAAAAGCCTGCAGACTTCATGGTGTTCTGCTATGTCTTACTGCCAGGTTTTATGGTTATTTTCTTCTCCCAGAGGTTTTTTGTTAAAATCAACTACTCTAAAACAGAAGCATTCCGTTTCTTTAGACTCAACATTTCTATGAGCCAGCAGAGAGGAAAGCTGTGAGGTCAAGCCTGTTTTCCAGGCCTGCTTTTCTTCCAGCAGAAAAAAAGGACATTTTAAGAGCAGCTCTCTAGCTTGTGTCTGTTTTCATGCAGTGCAAACTATACAAAGCTTGATCTTGCAATAAATGTAAATACTGTTAAGGACACTGGAAATCTGCAATCTATCAAGAAAAATCCACAGATTAGGTGTCTGTGACAGAAGCAACATAAGGCACAACTCTTGTCTCTGTAAGTTCTTGTAACTCTCAAGATTAAAATATAAATCAAGAATAGCAAAGGTGACTTGTAATAAGTCTTTTCAACTAACACACCTCTGTATTGGAGAAAGAATCCACAGACATTACAGGACCTTCTCTTCAGTTATTCCAGGCTCAATAGAAGTTGTCCTGGTGGGGAGGAGAGTGTGGCTAGACCTGAGCTTAGAACCAGTCTGTTCTTTTTCAAGCAGGGTCAGTAGCTATTCATCAGGAGCAAAGAGCCTTTCTGTGTATTCTGTGCTGGGCAGCCTCTCGAGCCTGTTCTGTCAGGACATGGGCTCGTCACTGACAGTTTGTTAGATTAAAGTTCCCTGCTTGAAAAGGTGCAGCCACACTTGGCAGAAAGGGCTGTCAGGCTTCCAGTCCTAATGCCATTTCTGGGGCATGAACACAAAAATATAAACAGTACAGTAGATTAGATGGGGGTGAAGAAGGGGGGGGGGGAAAGGAGTTTTGGTGTTAGGGTTTTTTTTATTATTTTTTTATTTCATTGGCTCATTAAGTTTGCTTTAGATTTGGGTACCAAAATGCTCTTCTACAGATCTTGGTTGAGAATGTTCATACAAAAACATGGCATCAAGATATTTCCACTGGAGGAGGAATTGCAGGAGAAGAAACCATTAATGGTTTTGTTCTCAAGTCTGTAAATCCATCTTACTCAGTGTGAGGAGACTTTGCTTTTCCTTAACACCCAAAACAGCCTCAACACAGTGAACTGTTGTGGTAACACTGATCTGCCTTGGGATCTGGAGTTTCTCACAGCATCGTGAGGCAGCCAATTCTGTGCTGAGACTCGACGTCCTGGTTGGTTGCCTTTCTCTGCTTTCTCTCAGGTTGTGCTTCATGGCAGACTGATTCATGATGCTCTCCATTAGCAGTGATTTTCTTCACCTAGCACATCTTTCCCTTGCAGAGATCAGCTTTTTTGTTCCATGGCTGATCAGTTTTCACCCCAGTTTGCAATAGCTTGTAAGGGCTGGCTGCTGCCAGTATTGCAGTGCTTCTTGTTGGGCTATAAAACAAAACAAACAGGAGACAAGACAGCTGAGATCCACCAGTGTGGAGGGCTGGAGACACTTCTGGATGTTTAGTCATTCCTTGATACCTTGGATGCAATGCAGGAGAAAAATAAAACACATGACATTTCTTCAGCACTGTACAATGGAGTGTTTGGGGAACAACCTTTGTGACTCATTTGTAAATGCCTGACAGGCACAAAAACGCTCTCTGGAGAGAGATGGTTTAGTGAGAAGGATTTGTTGCATTTTAACTGCTGCTAATTTGTGGGCTAGAAGTGCAGTTCAGGAGGGAGCAGGTAAGAGATATTTCCCTGCCATATTGCAGGTCAGAACTGAAGTGCTGAGACTGCTCTGAGGACAATAATGGGGATTGCAGTGTGCTTGGTCTTAGTGCTGCTACCCTTATTTTATTGGGCACTAAAACATGTTGGCTGGACTGATTTTGAGAGGGAGAGGAATTGGCAATGTGAGAAAAAAGGAGGACTCACAGCTACTTCATGCACTTGTCACGAGGCAAGAACGGTGCTCTTGAGATTGGCTTTAGCCTTTGCTGTTGGAGAGTCCACACTGAAATCTCTCCCAGCTCTTTGCTGTTATTGTGCAGGACACAGCAAATGGCCTCTCTGGTAACAAAGGACGTGGCTTGTCCTGAAGCTGGCTGCAGTTTCAATATGTAGCTGTTTGTCTCATGAATGTGGGAAGTGGATCATTCCCTCATAGCTGTAACATCTCCTTGCTTCTGTCATCACCTTGGTGTGCAGTGGGGTTGGGATGGTGGTGGAGTGCAGTGCTGAAATCTAGGCTGTGTGCCAGGGGGGATCTTCCTAGCTGTGAGTCAAGTGTAAGGACTCCTTCAATGTCATGTATGTGTAAAACACCTCTTTATATATATCCCAGTATGTCTGCTGCTGCATTGCTGCAGCATATTAGATGTTCATTTGTGTTTGTAGTCCGTGGTAATCTTTGGCTCTTCCTTGAATGGATACTTACTCCTAACTCTGTAATTACAAAGTTGATTGTTTCTGAAGAGTAAACTTCCTAGCTGTCTTGCTGCATCCTTCCATGTTTTTCAGACTATCACTTTGATTTTCTGCATTCTAGTCCTGTTCTCCAATATGCAGCTCTTAGTGTCTTGTGCAGATTTAATAAGCAAGTTCTCTATTCCATTACCCAGGCAATTACTGAAAATACTGAATAGAAGTGAACCCAGGACAGGCCTCTCTGGAACCACACTCAATGTTCTTACATTTTTGACAGGAAACCATTAAGTACGTCTCAATACATGCTTTTCCAATTAGTTATCCATCTACTTTGCTTTTGTCTAGCTTATATTTCTCCAGATTTTTTGCTTTATGACTGTGGGGAAACCTCTGTCTGCAGGGATAACTTCAGAGATCTACACATTTCTGTGCTGATAAGTTTGATCTCTTCTAGGAAATGTTTGTTATTAAATTCCATCTTTCTCCTTTAAGCAATCTGCTTATGTTTCTCTATACTTTTATTTTTCATTTTAATAGGGACTAAACTTATTTTATCTGTACTCTTGTGACTCTTTCCTGTTATGCACAAGCTCATCTAGGCCCACTCTAAAGTGAACCCAGTACTGCCACTGCTAGAGAGTGGCAGCAGTCTGAGTGAATTATTTTTACAGTACATGAACAGAAGCTGGTATCTAATGTGGAACTAAGGGCATTATCAGAAGAGTATCTGAGGATGACTGCTCTTGGGGTGATGCTGTGAAGATGTTGTTAGCAGCTCTGATCAAATAAAGCATTCTCACACGGTAAACAGCAGGTGAAAGCACACACAGACAGACAGCAGCAGCTTTGAACAGGACAGTTCTGTGTATGCTTCCAGGCATCCCTTGGGAATGCATTGAGCTGTTGGCACTCTTACTTTCAGCATCCAAAATAACCTTTGTAGCACATCTGGGGGAGGGGGGGTGGAGGAGAGGAAAAAATGCCTGCATGGAATGAGAATCACATTGTGGAAAAGAATAAAGGAAATGTGTTGTGCATCCTAATGGCCTGTTTTGTGTAGCAGCAGAGGAGCTGCTGGGCTGAAGAGCTGCTGGAGAGCCAAGGCAGTTCTGAGAGGAGTGGTGCTGTTCTGCCTGGATAAACAGTTCAGTCTGCCTAATGTTTGAATGGTATTATGAGGCTTTGTAGCTCAATGGTCAGATTGTCATGACAAATCCAGACTTGGGTGGTATAAAAAGGATGACCTCTCGCCTCTGTTTTGTTGCTGCTCATTGAGTAATTTTGGTGTGCATTAAGCTAATAAGGTTCATTTGGGGCACTGTCCACTGCATGTGCATTTGTGTATTATGTTGTACCTATTAGGAGCGTTGCAAATGCAGAAGAAAGTCTTTAATGGACAGAACTAAGGGTGTTCAGCTGTATAGCAAAATGGTTTTTTAAGCAAACTGCTCAAATTTAGCAAATAAAGACCTGGTTTTAACTCTTTAACCACCCCTGCTATCTTCTTTCAAGTATGAGTAAATACTCTTTGCTGGCTCAGTTTAATGATAGATGGGGAGGGCCTTGAGGTGCTCAAGGACAGTGGCCTTGCTCCCAACACCCATCAGTGTTGTGGCCAAGGTGATACCTGGCTGCAAAATGGGAGCAACAGGAGAGTTCCAAACATGGAAACTGCTCGGTCTGGGTAAAGAGACATGTGAGAAGTGTGATTTGACAGGCACAGGAGGATGAGTATGGGCTGTTGGTGAAATGGATGTTACAGTTCAAGGTCTGATTGCTGATGTCTCTCCCTTCCCTTCCAGGGTGACAACTTCAGGAGTAATGGAGGGCATGAAGAAGGTCAAGAAAGTGGTGAATGGTTCAGCAGAGCCCCAGGGCGAGTGGGAAAGCACGGCATGATGGACTGGACTAAGGCAGCACTTTCAGAGGAACTGTTTTAATTTATTAATATTACTCTCAGTGGAAAGGGAGCAACTTGCACTTCCCACCACTGAAATGGCAGAGTGGGGTGTGTCTGGGGGGAGGAAAGCAGTGCAGAAACATAACTATTCCTTTGATCATAAGAAAATGGGATCTCCTGGTACCTGCAAGGAGTGTGAAGCTTTCCTAGGGATTTTGGGTAGCTTATTCTTTTCTTTCCCCCCCTTTCTGGATCGGTTCTGCATCCTGAATTGTTTGCAGTTGCATTCTTCAGAATGTCTAATGCTAATGTGAAGAGAGACCTTCAGTGTGTATGTAAAGTATATATTTTATATAATGTGCATATATATATATATACACACACTATGTAACATGTATGCCAGGAGTTACAAAGCGTGGGAAAAGAAGATAAGAGATGTAAGTATTTTTTTTTTCTTTTTATAAACACTCCTTTTGACTTAGACAAAACGTTGCAAAACATGAGTAGGAGCAACTGCAGTTATTTGAGAGACTGATTGGGTATTGGATGAGGTGACTTCTGGCACTGCTCACACCAGTGGGAAAGTTGATAAGTATCTTATTTTATCCATGCAGGTATCCACCTGAACGTGCCAGGTTTTTAGATGTGTTACTGTACAGGAAACAAGTGACTGTTCTCCATTAAAGCACTGAGCCCATAGTGCAATAAGAATTAATGTTCATGGAGTTGCTCTTGACTCACCCCCACCTGACAAGAAGTACATAAGAGGTGTAAGAATGATGCTTGCTTTTTAGGGGTCTGCCATGCTATCCTAAACATTTACTTTCAAGCTGTGACCCAGAGCACCTTGGTCTGCTTGATAAAATATTTTCAAGGTATTTCAGAAGTCTCTCCTTTCTGACTTAGTATAAACACTACCAGACTCTCCAGTGGAAATCTGTCTAGCCAATTTACTGCAGTATAAATCTCTGGTTCACCATTATCCTGAGTTACCTGACCTCTCTGGGTGGCTACTTGTACCTGTCTGGCCATGTAGGAATTAATGGCACTGCTGTTTGAGACAAGCTGAACTGGTCAAAATGGTATTGCCACCAAAACCAGGCAACTGCAGCTCCCAGCCCTAGATGGTTTTTGTCGGGAAAGAAGATGACCAGAACCTTGATGCAGGGGAATATGGAAGTCTTGACTGTCAGTGGAGTCTTTACAGACATGTTGCAAATGCCACATGGATTTTCTCTGTAGTCCCTGCTATGGTCAGTGAGGCAGCTGCTGTCATAGGTGCAGGAGTGAGAATGGTTGTTAATTCGGGGGAGGATGGAAGTGGTTCATTGATGTAATGAGGATAAGCTTTCAGAAAAATAAATCAAGTATAGCTCAGTGACCCACTGAAGCCTTAATATTGATGTAGAGGTGTTGAAATGTGGTGCTGTTGAGCCAAGTCCTTCTGCCAGACTGACAGGGATTGGCATCATCACAGCTTTGAAGTGCCAGCATTGCTTATGGACTCATTTAGGAATTGCTTTTTTGAAGGGACTACATCTCTGGGGCACAGCTGATTAGAGGACTGCCAGCCACTGGGTAATTTTATTCTTCAAGCTTAGAAGGAGGATTTCTTTTAGAATCTTGAACCACTTCCTCACTTTTGAGCAGGGGTTGCATTGCTCTTGGTGAGCAATCTGTACCAAGACTCGCTGTTTGAGGAGCAGCTTCACTTTCTCCAGTTGCCACTTTTCCCAGATGTTGGTTCTATGCACCATGGAGATGGTAGGAACAAATCTGCCTGCTCCATACCTGGAACTGCTTTCTCTTCAGATAAAGCATGACAATAGCCCTGTTCTCTGGGTGCAGTCTTCTTCTGTTTTTCTCCTCAGCCATAACTTTACAGTAATCACAGCAGTGATAGTTTGACTTTTGCTGTCATTGCCTTGCAGTGAGACAGTTTTAGTGGGAACAGATCCTACACCACTAGAGAGGCTGTTTGGTGATCTATGGGCCTTTTAGACCTTCGGTAAGAATAAATCTGCATATTAAGTAGTGAGGTGTGAGAAATTGGACCATAAACACAGGCAGACCCAGCTCATCATACACTTAAATACAATACCTGGAAAACTCATCCTCTCTCTCTCTCTCTGCAGAGTTACTCTGTCCCTGTGGAATTGTCACTCACTGCATCCAAAGGGCTGCTCAGACAGCCTGTACACTTTGTTCAGAGAAGCCCACTGGAGGCTTAGTCTGTTGGGACTGAGAGGTATGTAAGGGATAAGGATAAAGTGCAGTAACAGTGTTATCTGGACATGATGCTGCTCTAGAACATGTTAATTCCTTTTGTGAATGAGATGTGAAATTCTGATGGCTGTGACATTTCACCCAAAAACATGAGGGCTGTGCTGAGATCCCAGTGAGTGCAGAGCTGGTTCCAAACAGCTGCCTATTCCATACCTCAGCATCAGTGGAGCTGACAATTTGGCAAGTGCTGTTACCTTAGTCTCAGGTTTCTCTTTTTTTATATGCACTTTTTTTGCTGAAGTTGCATCTGGTGTAGGTTTATCTGCCAAGTCCCTGGCTTGCTAGTCAAAGGCTAAAAAATGGGTCATTTCTTTTTGTCTTGGCATGAAAAGTCACAGCAGTATTCCGGAAGTATTTTTTTTTGGAAGAGCTTTTTCCAAGTTCAGCCCGGAGTTTCAGCAGTCAGCTCTACAACCAGCTTCAGCTGGTGCTTAGTGCAGGATGCCAAGCAGCAGGAACTGGTCAAACCTGGGCATTAGGAAGAAAAATCAATGTCATGTACAAGTCAAAAAACCAAAAAACCCTCTCTTTGGAAATGGCTGCAGTGAATTTCCACTTTCTCTGGTGGAATTCCTTGGAGCAGGTCAGGAAGTGTCTTGCAGGGGTATGTGATAGATTGGACGGTGGGATGGTGGAATATGGAAGAGGATGCAGCTGTGCTTCTCTCACTTACTGTGCTGCAGTGCAAAGCATCAAAGAGAGGGCTGCTCCCTCCCCTTCCTCCCAGGCAAACCCCCAGCTGCATGACTGGCACTGCACGACTCCAGGGTGAGTGGAGAGCGGCAGCTCGGAGCTCCCCAGGCAGGATAATCAGTGCCTGCCTTTCACGTGCTGACAGCTGCTGATCTGGTGTAGGAAGCTCTGTCTTTCACAGGGAAGCTGGAGGAACTGCTGTGGATTGCAGATTGCTTTGGGATACAGCCTTACTTTCCTGTCTCTGCCTTTTGCTGAAGTGGGGAACTGAAGCAATCACGCTGACAGGACGCAGCAGTACAGGGACAGCAGGTCTGGTGCAATTCGGAATAAATGGTTGGAATGCTTTCCCATATGTTGCTGCAGTGGAGCACTCAGCACCCTCTGCAGACAGAAATGAGATTGGTTCAGTCTTCAGTTGTAATGCAGGTTATGCCCCAATAAATCCCTGTTGATGATGACATGCACATGCCACTGCTGCACTCCTCCCTCCTGCTGTCACTGTTCAGGGTGTCTTCCAGAGGGAGCCTTGCAGTGCAACTGCCAGACTCTTGCATTCCTCAGGCTGGAAAAATGTTTTCCTTGATGGTTCATCAAGAGACTTACTAAAGGAAAACAAGACATAATGGGGTCATCTGGAACACTGCTGCTGCTTGCTCGGAGTGGAGCAGTTTGAGCTGAAGAAGCCACATGCTGTCCTATTAAGATGCTCTTTCATGTTGTCATCTAACTCGGCGTGTCATGATCTGTGCAGTGCATTGTTCAGTGTTTCTCTCCAGCTGAGTGCCCTGTCCCTGGATTTCCATGCTGCCATACCCTGGGAGCATGTTGTAAAAAATTTGCTGCATTGCAGTATTTTGTCTTGGAGCAAGTAGTGTGGAAGATGTATTTTTCTAAGCTGAGTGGACTCTCTGTGGCATGAGTGTGCATCCACTGTGTATCCTTGAGCACTCTAACACTCCTGGTCGTGGAAGGGTGTGTCCTAAGTACTCCAGCTTGCACATCTGGTGGAAGTCCAGTGGAAGATTTTTAGTACGTTAAGTCTTTTTTCCTTACAGCATGCTCCTTTTAGAGAAGAGAAATGCAATCTGGCCATTGACAATGAGATTGACAAGAAAGGAGGGGGGTTTTTTTGTTGTCTAGTTGAAAACTGCCCACTTTGAAGCAAATACTGGGTATTTGTATGCTCTGTTGAGCTCTGAGAACTGGAGTTGCTTAGCTATTAAGGAAAGGGAAGGAAATCCTCCTTGCTTCAGTCTGCCTTTGCTAGGTTTGTCTCCTTCAATTTGAGCTGCCATGCCAGCTGACAGACTGCTGTCACTTTAAAGCAGATGTGTTTTATGGATTCTGTGTTATGACCTCCACTCATTCAGCATGTCCCCGTTTTTCAGCTGTGTACAAAGAGTGTGGAGCTGTGGTCTGCAGGAGTGGGAGTTACAGTGATGTTTGAATTTGATGGGACTCACTGTCTGAAACCTGTGACCTTGTGTGTAATGCCAGTAACCTCCATGTTTCATGAAAGCTGAGGTGGTGCTCCCAGAGGCACTTAACCAATCTTACTTTGTGTTCCCTGGGGTCAATTTGCTGGAAAATGTTGTTCTAAATTGGATTAATGTGGCTTTTTTTTTTTTTTTGTAGCTGCTGGGTGCAGTGCTGTCTTGGGCTTACTAATCACTAGCAATATTGGGAAGCTGTGTATTTCCTCTGTGTAGTTTCTTGCTTGGATCAAGCAATGATCCTGTAAGAACTGCACATGACACGTACTCACGAGTGGCTGGAACAGGATTTAGGACAATACTGATACTCTGTATAGGTGTAGAGTGATGGTCCTGGAAGAAAGTGGCTGAGAAAAGAGTCACTCCTTGTAGGTTGACTGGCTCAAGAACCCATTTATGTTTTGACTGCAGCAATCCTGGAGAAAGGACAATTCTGAATAAATATCTCCCTGTGGGATTTCATTTGATGTTCTGCTCTCTGTGTAATAAAGTAGAGCTTGACCTCCATGTCATCAGAAGCACTTCGTCCTGTAGCCAGGATACTGGAGCGTGGGGCTGGTACCAGCTCTGTCAAAACAGAGTATGGGTCTAAATAGCTTCCCTTGCCTTTAGTAACTATTAATAATTAATTCTAGATCCTCTTGTGTCATTAAGCAGCTTTAGGGCACCTTGTACAATGTAGCTTTGAATTCATTTAGTAAATGACCTCCAGAAGAACTGAAAAATACTTTCCTGTGTACAGCAAGGTCCAATTCCAGGGGTTTTGGTGACCTGTAAATATCCTATTCCTCAGTTCCTGTTCAGATGTAAAAATGGATTTTTTTTTCAGTATTTTTTTAAACTTTATTAAAAGAACAGCAAACAGTATTGGAAGAGAAGCAAAGTAGAGACAAGTCAGGGCAGTCTGTGTAACTTGGTTTCCCTGCTGTGATGCAAATGTGTAAAATAAAGATTGACCAGAAAGAAGTTTAATGCATCTCATTTTCTGCTTCTGAACTGCCAGTAGCCACGCTGACCCACTGATTCCAAAGTCTGCTTTTCCCCTTGCCCAGCTTCATTTCCAGCCCTTAACATCTGCATCGTGGATACAGGGCAAAAATCTTGGGAGGAAAATTTTTTCTATGGGAAAAGCTTTCCTGTCAGTGACCCACTGAGGTGCCTTTTCTTGAGCTGGAAGACCTCTGCGTACTAAGCTCTGCTTGTACCTGCTCATTTAGGTTTGGAAGCTGAACTTGAGTAGTAGTTTGTGGACTGAGTCTCAAACAGAAGCATTCCTCACATCCCTGTGTCTCCTGCAGTCTCCGGCAGGCAGGAAAGCAGGAGCTCCTTATTCCACAGGGCTTGATGTCACCTCGCTGTGCAAGGGCAGACAAGGAGCTGGTGCTTTGAGCCTTGGTGACCAGGTACAAATTAAGGGTAAAAACCTATTTTTAAAGTAATATCTTTTGTGGATCTGACCACATTATCTCAAAGGGGCAAGTCCTTGGCCTTTTTGCTTTAGGCTGGACTGGCAGTTATTCGGGACTTACATAGTTGTGCTCTTCTTGAGGTGTAGGGATCTAACCGTGCATTTTGGTTCTGCAAAGTGGTTGGGTTGGCAGGGATGAGGAGGGCAAAGTATTCCTGTGAAGTGTTCTTCCTGATAATCCCCCATCCCTCAAAAGCATATGTCCTTCATCACGAAATCCAAGTCCTCAAGATGTTTCCTACAGTTCAGCCTATAGTTGTCATCCTGCCATCGAGGGGTAATGCCAGAAATAGCCTGTGTGTAGACTCTGTGTTCTCTACCCTGCACCTCCCAGGCAGCCAGTTCTGCCTTGCCTCGAGCCTCTGGGTGGGTGGTGTTTTACCAGGGAACTAAACTATAATAAGTACTTAGGCTTTGGATTCACTAATACCCTGCTGTGGGTTAAAACAAACTTTGTGATGGAGCTGGTGGCTGGTTGTTGCACTGGGGTGACCTGTATCTATGTCATGCAGGTTTCTCCAAACTGAACATCCTCTGCATGTTCTGTCTGTTGTGTGTTTGGCCTTAAAACATTCCCTGACAGCAGCCAAACTCATCCCTGCTCTGAGAACAAACTGCTCCGGCGGAATTGGCTGCACCAGGCCAGAACATCTCTCAGCTGTGAGGAAAGGTGAAATGTTTGGGGTGGGGTGCATAAAGTGGGACTAAATTGTGGGAACTCTCACTTGAGGAGGAGACCAAATTAAGTTATCTGGGGAAAATTTGATTTCTGACCGTCTTCTCCAAGGAGACAAAAAGAAGAGCTCCTGGTATTTGAGGTCTATTGCAAGCAGAGGTTGTCTGGCAGACTTACACAGGGGGGAGAATAAACAGAACCAAAGCCCTAACAAAGCTTCCCTCGATGTGCTGCGTTTGGATGCAGTTTTGTAGGTGTTTTCCTGCCCGGGGGAGGTAAATTGTTCTACCTGCTTTAAGGTTTTTCTTCCAGTGTCTGAATTCCCAGCTGTCTTGATCATTTACAGCTCCTTGTTGCAGTCCTGGCTGCCTGCTGTCAGTGCTTTTGCTCGAGCAAGGTTATCTTCATGACTGCAAAGGGCTGCCTTCTCTTTCAATCCTGCTTTTGCTTTCCTTTGCCTTCTGACTGACAGGCTCTAATGAGAGGAGTGTGTTGTAGTGCCCTGTATAGCGAGTGGTCAATAAAAACCAAATTGCTTTGTACAGCAGAGGTAATAACACAGCTTGTATTGGCACAGCTGATCCTGATATTGGGGTCCTCAGTTAGGAGGCAAGGGCTTTTGTGTGTCTTAAGTAGTAACAAATGCATGTCATCCCTCTCTTTTCTCCCCTCTCATCCATGGATAAGTGGTGTAACTGGGGGTGACACTGCTTTGTCGTGACTCTTGTCTCCCGTGGAATATTTTCACTGGGGTGGCTGAGACACAATACATGAGATGGCTCTTGTATTCCTGAAAAAAAATAAACAGGCGTGTGAGGTGAGGCTGTTACAGGGGTGGCAGGTGGAATAAGTGAGGATCAAAATGGAAGGGATGGCTTAAAATTCCATTAACTGCTCCCTCTTGGGATGGTTGTGCCAAGCTTGGCAGGAACATCCTCGATGAGAGGAGCAGTTATCAACACAGGTCTCCTGTGGCCTGGGTAAGTATATTAATAAGTTGAGTTTGTGGGTTCTTTTTGTCCCTGAGGGGGTGCAGATCTTCTGTATGTCTCAAGTCCTGTGTCATTTTGGTAGGGTGGCACAATATCCCACGGATATCCCATTGGCATATTGTCTCCCACCACTTACTGTTGGTCATTGTCAGTGGTCCAGGTGCCTCTTCCCTGAGCTGCTCGGGATCTTTGTTCTGTGGGAGCTCTGTGAAGTCAGAAGGAATCTTCCACCCAGCACAGCTGTGAAGGTATTGATCTGAATCTCTGGGGAAAGCCAGACTTGTTCATTTTGAGATGGCTCTCATACCAGGAGGTGGTAGCCAAATTGGAGGGGCTACAAAGAGCAGCTGCAGTGACTGAGAGGAGAGAATTGGGCAATGGCAGAAGATTACAAGAATTAAAGCTGTAAGCCTGACTAAGTGATGATTAAAGACAGCCAAGAAGAAGTAGCACGGTACAAAATGGCTGCAAGGGGGGAACCCATGGAAACGGGGAATTAATTAGCGTGGCTGAGAGCTGAGCTGGGGAGAGGTGAGATGGAACGAAGGCAGAGGAAAACCTTTCGCCAGTGAGTTTGGCTGCAAACAATCTCCCTGGAGAAATGGAGGCAGTTCTGTGTTGGTTTAGATAATCAACACTAGACCGGACAAATCATTGCTAAATACACTGCAGGGAACGACCCCTCATCAGCTGTGAGCTGGATGAAATGCCTGGCTCAGCCGTTTTCCATTTGCTTATCTCTGTGTGAAGTACATTGCATGCATAATTCCCGGTTTGGGGGTTCATCTGCTTTACCATTAAACCTTGTAGATGCCTTGAGTGAGCCCGGCTGCTCCACAGGAGGAACGTTTAAAAGTACTATGTTAAATTGAAGCTGGTTCGTGCGTGCCCTAATCTGTATTCCGAGGCAGTCAGGGGTTTTTTAACTGTTGCTGCAAAAACTGAGCGGAAATATCTGCTGGGATTTACCAAGCACACAATGCCCGTGTGTTGCCATGAATCAGAGCAGCCTTGTGGGAGGCAACAATTCAACCTTTTTAACAGCAACAGAATTTGAAAAATAGGTACAGGTCGATCAGGTCGATTTTTCGGATGTTTGAATATTTTGGGGGGGGGATTGGTGTGTTTTTGTTGGGTTTGTGTTTGGTTTTGGTTTTGTTTTTTTTTTTTTAAGATTTACCGATTGCAGGGTAGGATTTGGGTGGGCAGACATCATTGCTGACAGTTGGCTTACAAAGCTTGCTTAAGAAGGTTGTGTCCTGTCTTAAAAGCAGAGCAGGTCAGCAGCACCAGCCCCAGCTGCTGCCCTGGCCTCCCCAGCCATGTCCACAGCAGACAAACCCCACTCACCGAGAGGCTGATGAGCCAGTATATGACTCATGAGTAATCAGAGGCTGATTTCTGTCTGGCTCGTGGTGTGAAACCCACCACCACAACCATTCCCTTGTGTGGTTCACAGCTCAGCACCGAGTGGACACTGAGCTGCCTTCGGAGCAAAGATCCAGACAAGGATCAGAGACCTGGAAGCCACATGCCTTCCCTTCATTTTGAAAATTCTTATTTGTATATATATGTATAGATCTATATATTTTTTTTTTAAAAAAAGCTTTGTTCTGCTCTAAACATCAGTCTTTCAGTTTTAGGGGCGCTTCCCTCAGAAATGTGTGTTTTTTATTAAAAACCCCAGCTGAAGCTGGGCAGAACTGGTGAGCAGTGCTCAGGTCACCTGCACAGTGTGTGCTCACAGCCTCTCCTACCTCTCTGCCAGCCCCGAAGGTGCTGGTGGATGCTGCGGGGCGCCTTTGCTGCAAAAACGCTGCTGCTGCCTCTGCGACTGTGATCTTATCTCACACAGACACAACCGCGCAGCGCTCGCTTGGTTGTCGCTACGAGGAGCCTTTTATTTTCAGTCCCTGAACAAATGCGCTGCCCGTGTCTGGTCTCAAACCTTGGCTGGAGGCTCAAGGTGCCCGGGCTGAGCTCTCCCGTCCCTGCACTGCAGGACGAGCGTGGCAGGAGCAGAACCAGAAGGTGGTTCCCCCAGTTGCCAGCTGTGATTTGTGATGTGCCACGAAGGAAGATGGAAGGGAGAGCACAAAACCTCCTCCTGCTCGGCTTTATCTCAGCCAAGAGCTGCCTGCACACTGCAGGCAAGGGGAGAGCAGCCGATGAGTTCACCACAGCCACCCTTCCCAGGTTCCTACATTAGCATAACAATTACAGCCCCAGAGGCTGTAATGAGAATACAGGCTTTAAAAAATATACTACAATTTAACGGAGAAATTAATAGTGTAGCAAATTGTAACGCTCAGTGCCTCGGCTGCCTGTCTTGAGCGACAGCTGTATGTGCAGCCTTGGCACAGTTGTGATTTCCAGACTTTCCTCTGCATTTGGCCATCGTTTCAACATCTACAATTCCAGTTTCCTGGGGAAAGAGCCTGCAGGGCACCATTCCTGCTGCCATTTACCCAAAAACATGGTATGTTTTGTGTCTGTTGCGTTTCTCTGGAGCCATGCAATGTATTGACACTAAAATGCTGTGCAATATGAAGCTAATTTATAGTGGTCATAGCCAGTAGGGCTGGTACAGTTCAAGTCTCAGAGCGTTTTGGGCTACAAATCTTGATTTTTGAGGGCTTTCTTATTTAGTCCTATATATGGCTCAGCTATCAAAGCAGTTGCAGTGGTAAATGCCAGCGCTGGGCACTTGCTGTGACCCGCAGTGATACCAAGGGCAAAGCAAGAGCAGCTCACTCCCATCTTGTCAAGCTTAAAGGAGCTTCAGGAACACCCTGGCTGGTGAGCTGGAAGCTGAGGAGCACCATTTAAA